GCAGGGAGACACTGAGTGAATGAAACGCAAAATACACAATTCAAATGGTTTGAGATGAATGGATGAAGTTGAATGCATTAGGGGTTTCACAGAACAGTCGACTATCAAAACCACCAGCAGACACTGTGCATCGTTCATCTGTTGTGTTCGGTGGTGGTTGCACCAACTTAGCTTGTGTGCCCCCCTCAAAATCCCCAAATGCATCTTATTATAAGGAACACCAAATATAATGAACATGAATTGATAAATGATGAAAACTGTATTGCTTTCCGATGCAACTCATGGGGGGCTTCGACCGAAAGGGCTGAGCGGAAGCCTCTGGAGGCTGCATCACGCATGGGCTTGCAGCTGGTCACTGCTGTAGAGGCAGTTGCGTGATATGCGGAGCAGTGGCAGTGCCTCCCACTATATCAGCCACAAAGCAGATGTGTTGTTACTGCAGTCAAACACTCAGACCAGCTTGCTGGGTTTAGTTGCTGCTCATTTGTGAACAGCCTCTCAGAGTAAAGATTTCTTTGGGTAGGGAAATGTTTATTGGGTACACCTGCACAGTCCAATACAACTGCTCTGCCATAACGTATACTTTTATGATGTCTATAATGTTCAGGGTTTTTTTAGACTCTCATAGAGGTATTCTAGTGTTGAGGTGATAGTAAGTGATGATGTTGTACTGGAGTGCATTATATTCAAATGTGTTTCCCCCTCAAATTAAAACCAAACTCAAAATAATTTACAACACATAATTGAGTTTACACTTTTCTAAAAATGTCACCAAAACTCTACATAATGAGCACCACTAAAGATAGCATCATTTCACAACATTTCCTTGTTGCTGAAATGCAGGAGGTCAGTTAGGGTAGCCTGTGGGTTTTGTCCTGAAACTACAGTAGTTCTTCAAATCAGTGTCCTCTATCATTACTTAGTGAATATGATCATATGACATTACGTTGATCAGGCAGTCCAGTATGCTATTAGACTCTGCTAAGCCTTACTTTGTTTCTTTTTTCTGTTTCATGGCTGAAGAGGATAATTAATCCTGCAGAAAAACAAAAGGTCACCCCCAGTAAACAGGTATGTCATGCAGAATTGTTCTGTTCCAGAAAACCAAAATCATATTACTACAACAAAAATCCCTCAGCCTGCAGATCATGTCAGAACAGAGACAAGATGTCTATGTACAAATTGCCCTGACATTGAAACCCAGTGTCTTCCAGAGAGGTCAACAAAACAAATTTCAAAGTGGGTATAGCTCACAGAGAGAGCCTTTGCTATTCGTGTTCAATCAACTGTTTAGGAACCAGCACTTCAGAGGCCTCGGTGACACATTTCAGGCTCAGAAGTTTTTATGACTATAGCTGATGGTTTTTTTACTCAAAATAAAGAAACCCATACCCCTCTAAACAACCAGAGATGTGTTGCTGCACCGCAGTGCGAATAGTATGGTGTCTGTAGCCTGCAGTTGTGGTGATGGTGGGGGTAGTGGTGGAGGAGGAGGAGGGTGGGGTGGTTGGAATCAGTGACATTCTTCAAGGCCAGTGTAAGATTAAAGACCGGGGCTGTCGTGCCTCTGATCATATATTCACAAAAGATACCCTATGAAGAACACATCTTTAAAGAAGGCTGGCTAAAAATAATACCACTACTTGTGAATATTTGTGGCAGCCCATTATAGATATCATATAAATGGTCCATTACTGAGTAAGGAGATTACACCCCAGAGAGGTTTTTTTAGTTACCCTGCTCATCTTCTGTTTGCTCACTTTTTTTGGCACAATCCTGTGAGCAGCTGCCTCCAGTGGCACGAGCGTGTCCTCTGTGATGTTATAGGTTTGGAAACATCATGGATCCTATAGGTGTGGTTTAAGCCAGGAGAGCCTTTATTTTTTTTATCGAAAGAATCAACCCCAACAACATAGCATAGTGGCGTTGATAAAAGAAACAGCCTTGGGCATAATGTGCAACAATGAGCATTTATGCAGAAATGAAAAATGTCAATAGTGCTTCCCTCCATAATACTGCTTATTTCACTGGCACATAACACTGGCCTGTGACTCATGCACATAAATCCAGTGCACACAGTACAGTAAACCGAATAATGATTAATATAACTTTCATCTTGGGTTTGCTTCACTTGGTGTGGCCTTGGGTTCTTTTTAATAGTCATGGCACAGTGGAAAAATATAATAGCTTGCTATTCTGCATGTCCTTCAGATAAATTACACTATATATATATATATATATATATATATATATATATATATATATATATATAGAGAGAGAGAGAGAGAGAGAGAGAGAGAGAGAGAGAGAGAGAGAGAGAGAGACATATACACACGCACACCACCGTACCATGTGTTGCCCTTTTTGTACCTTTTTGTGGAGAGTCTAACAAAAAACACTCATAGGATTACAGCTCCTGGTGGGGGAGAAGTATTAATATAATAATCAAGTCTTTCAGGTTGCTCTTTATTCAATTGTCCCTCTTAACATTTCCCGGCTATGTCAATCAATGTGCCTGCCTTGTCTTTAAAGAAACACAGGAGTTATCCATTCCGGCACCATTAAAACATCAATGTCTCATTTCTGCTAAATGGCAGAGGAAAGATAATTGGCATGTGTGCATGCATATTAATTAACTGATAATGAGACGATAAGGCCCCCTCTCTATCTGCAGATGTGGAACCACTAATCAATTGTCAATGAAATGGGGTAAAAATGTGCTTCTCTTATCCCTCTACTGAAATTAAAAACCTATTTGGTACCACGCTTTCCAACAAAGTGCTTTTCATTTATCTTCTGCAGCACATTATTCAATCATACTTTCCATTTGTATAATGGTAATATTTTCATGTAATTTCCCGCTGCCTCTGAGATGGGTATTTTTGATATGGCTTTGTAAAATGGCTATTCCATTCCAGCTCCATTCACTAGCTGGTAATAAACTTACAACCTATATTTCAGATTAACTGTCTTCAGCAAATGGAGCCAGCCTCTGATGTCTCATAGTGATCTGCAAAGATCACTTCTGCTCCCTGGTGGCGGCAGAGAGAACTCCTTTAGTGTTTGTCCATGCCCCCTGGTGGACTGGAGAGTGCTTGAACATTTTTGTAACCCAACTCTTGGCAGCATTTCATTATTTACTGTGTAAAGCATTCACTGCCTCTGATATGCAAAGCATACTATCGAGTCGAAGAGCTGCAAGGTATCCACAGCTGAACCATAAGCTGACTATCTTAAAGGGTTGCTGCTTTAGCCTGCAGCAGAATTGGAAGCGTTTGAAAGAGTGTGTTGTAACTATCAGCCCTGACCAGAGGTGTGTGAGTGCTGCAGTGGAGGAGGAGAGGAGAAAGAACATATAGGGATCGTGAAGACAAACAAAGGCGATGCAAGTATGCCGCGGGGGGCTTTAAAAAAGATCTAACGGAGGCCTAGAAAAGAACATAAAGGCAACACAGGTACACAACAACACAACGCAGTATTTGAATCAGTGTATTTATCTCAAGAGTATCTGCAATATGAACATAAGAGCTGGATCTTCTCTGAAGTGTGTGTATCTCTGTGTGTGTGTGTGTGTGTGTGTGTGTGGCTGGCCCAGATGACACACAGGTTGATGGACAGTAGTGCATCGTCGCCTCCTCCTGCCGACAGGCCCTCCTTCACCCTGGACAGGCCAATCTGTACACACAGCGTCACAGACACATAGAGCCCATCTCAGTCACCACTCAGCCCATTTGTCATGTCAAATAGCCTCAGAGAGACATGGCGGTCAAGTTATAGAGGTGATTGTATCAAAGTGACCCCAATGCGGCGGTCATAAATTGCTGGCTTTATGGTGAGGTACTATTATCTTGTTCCATTGATAGAATTGAAAACAATGAAAGGTCATAGTCAGCTGATAAGTAAATGGGAAAACATGAATAATATTGGAGATTTTATGAAAAGGAGGCATTGGGAAAAAAATAGCTTTCAGATCATTTAGCATATTTCTTACTTTGACAAGAGCTTAGATTGAGTTGTGAAGGTGGCACTCAGCTGGAACTCTCTGTTTTTTCATCCTCGTCTTCGTCTGTTCTTCCATTGGTTTCTTCTGTAGGAGCCTCCTTTGTGGACGTGGCTGTCTTCGGCCTCTCCTCCGGCTTTTCGGCAGAGTCCACCACTGTGGTGCCCCGGCTCGTGTTGCAACCCATGATTTGGTGAAATCTAAGAGTCTACAGTGAGCTGTTCAGCCGAGGAGTCCTATAGAGTGTTAAAACACTGGTCATAACCTTAAGACCTGTGTTGTGGGCGCAGGTGCCTTTGTTCTCCATGGCAACCTCAATACTTCTCTATGTTGGTTTTTTTACAAGCTGATGTCTGCCGGCCTCCCTGCCTTTCTGTTATTACCTCCTAAGCAACATTGGTTGAGAATTAACTCCGGAGCATGACAAAACATGGTTACTGATAAACACTGAAGGGGATTGTGTCATTTGCAGAGGAGCCATGGTTACCAACAATGGATGTGCTGGGAGTTTCCGAGTTCATTCAGTCAGAGGTATTTATGAATTCTGTTTATCACCAGTCAGCTAATGTCAGAGCAGGTCTTTATTTACAGGTCTGCTAGATCTTAGGAGTCTAGAACTGTACTGTAGATCTTTAGTTTAGCCGATACACAGCTTTGTATGACGGTGGAGTGTGAGTCAGATAAATGAATTTACATTTAATCAGTACTGTAAATTATGTGAGTGAGCCATTTGCTATTTTGTCATTAGGTAGCACTGTTCTGTCAAGTAAAAACTGTTTTCCTGGTTGCTTCTCATTAACTTTCTAAAAAGGGAAGCACAGCAGAGTGAGGCCATTACGCTGAGTGTAGACCGGAGTTACCGTTTAAAGTGGAAATTCAACAGAATCCAAACAGTCTTCGCTAGTAATGTCTGTGATCATTTCATCAAAGAATAAAGAGAATGATTTATTTGAAGAGGAGCAATATTATGAAGAGGAGCAAATATGAGACATGTTGTCCATTAAATCTGTTTATTGTTACATGTATCTTCATTTACCATTTAAAACTTGGGAGATGTCCAACACTTCACTTTAGAATGAGTTCTCAGCGAGTGTCCAATGGAGATTTCAAGTTTCCTCATCATATTTGTGTTAGTTGAATACTGGGCTATGATTGGCTAACAAACTAGTTGAGATGTCACAAAATCCTGCTCGCATGCACAAGTCTAAAACTCAGAAACTTTGTCACTTCAGCATATTAATGTGAAACAGCCTTCCGTCAAGCTGCACATACATCATTCTCCACCGTGAAGGCCAAACATTCGATTGATGTCACAATAAGTGAAACCTTTTTCTGAGTGGAGGCGGGCTTTAATAAAATGCAATCTCCTATTGATTCATCCATGATATTAAGGTTGCAATCAGTCATGGCTGCACCTGATGAAAGTGTCATTCATTCATGTTTTTAGTTTCTCAAATCTTACTCTATACTTCAAGTACCATTGAATAAAGTTTCATGCTGTCACTTGTGCACTTTTCTTGAGTCTTGCGAAGAAATAAAAAAACACGTTTCACCATGTCTTCAACAGTGCACACTGGGGAAGCCTGACATGTGCTTGTCCCCATGATGCTGTAAAGGGCAGGCAAGTTCCTCCTACAGTTTTAACTGTAGTTATCAGTCTGATTTTATTCATCCAAGGAAAATCAACTCAGCACTTTTCAGCACTGCCCTACTTCAAATTTTTACAACATCATACACCTGCACCAGGGAGCTGCTCAGGATGACCACAATCATCTACCATTGGCCACTCAGCTAAGGGGTAAGTGCTCTTTTTTAAGGATAGTGTGTGTCAGAAACAAGGAAGGAAGACAAATCTGCTCTGTATTTCTCTAACACCTGACATTGCTATTACAGTCACAGAAACAGGAGCAGAGTGAGACTACTTGCTCATCTCTGCTCTAGTGCAGGTTAAGCCTTGTAACTGGAGATGGTTGGTCCTGGTCTCGGTCCTGGTCTCGGTCCCGGTCCCTTCTTGTCATGCGATAATTCACCACATTGCTTAGACGCCTCTGCCAGGCTGACTGGCCATCCAAACGAAGCCTCTTCACTGAAGGACCATCTTCCTCCTCCTCCCCTTCTCCCTTGTCCTCCTCTCCTCTATCCAACCCCCCATAGCATCGCCTGCTGGGTGACCGGCCCGTCCTGATCATGTTGTTGATCTGACGCAGACACTGTGGAAACAGAAAAGGATATTTGAAGCAATATTTAACTGACTTAATCACTCAATCATGACAAACTCAATAATTGAGTTCTGTTAAAAAGCTTTACTTATCTAAATGTATAAGCAATATATACTATCTACACTGTGCCAAAATAGAATTATGGTCAAATGATGTCCACAGACCTCTCGGGGGCTTGAGTTGAAAACATAGCAGAGTCCGGGTGTACTGGGGGAAGTGGTGTCTGTGTCAATTGGTGAAATGAAGATGAGGTGGCTGCTGGACAGCCGCTGTCTGCGAGAAGATGCTGTCCACTGTCGGGGATATGGAGACAAAGGAGGAGTGTCCCCCTGTATGAGAGTGACACAGCATGTGTTAGAAAGTCCCATCTTAAAAGATGAAGTGATACAGTATATTACAGCGGTTTACATATCCATTCATGGGCTTTTGGTTTTTTTTTGTGACCCTCTTATTCAGTTTGTCAAAATGTATAGACTTGGAATTCTCTACTTACTCCAGATGTTGGGGCAAACTGTTTGGCAAAGTGCTGCATCTTTGTTGTGTAGATTTGGTTGTAGAAGTGAATAAGGTTTCCCTTCTTCTCCTGACAAGGTCCTGGATAATGTGTTGATGGCGTGTCGGGTGTCAGCATACCGACGCTGTGGTCTTCATTATCTGTAATCAACAATGTTATAAATGGTCACTTCTCATTGTGGTATTACAGTACATTGCCTCTTCTTACATTACTGATATACTGCAGGTATTATATTGTGAGTTATGTTGGTAACTTTATTTGTTTGATTTTTTTGGACTTTTGTTTATACATTATAAAGTATTTGTACTATCTACAGTATATGTGGGATGTATGTTGAGATGTATTTCTTAATCTGTGTAAATCAGCTTGTATTACAGCACACTACACTGTGTCATACAAACCTTTCACACTCATTCATCTCTATCTGATCTAACTCCGGTCTATTTCTTCTGCATGCAAATGAGAGATATTTTATTTTGTATTTCATTATCGTTTTTTTGTTGTTGTTGTTTTTTTACATGTATTCTTACGAAATAGTGTCTTACTGTTTCCTTGTCCGTCTTCCTTGATGCCTCTTCCGGATATCAGCACATTTTTGCAGACCTGAGAACAGAAAATCTCTGTATTCATGACTATTGAACTAATAATTGTCTAAAACACAAAATATGTTACTCACTCTTAATTTGTCAATTTTGTGACACAGGTTTAAATTCAGTAACATGTTAAGTCACACATCTTATGTTTTAATCATCCGCGAAGCAGCTTCCTGAGATAACAGTGACAGTGATTTCAGCTCCATTTATTAACCGCGCTGTTTTGTTTGTGGGTCAAAGATGTCAAGCAGGAATAGTCTAAAACTTACGCTTTTGTTGACACGTGGCTGAGACTTGTAGCACTTCATTATGCATTTGAAAGGTATTTCCAACTTGGTAATCTGTAAAGGCAATGCCATAACTTAATAATTGATTATGTACTTTGAACAAGTGCATTTCCTGTAAAAAATATTAAAATTCAGGTTTATTAACTGGATCAGGACAACAGACAGGCATATTTAAGGTGTAAAGTAGTAAAAACTTTTAAAAACTTACTGACCTACAGTAATAACATCCCCTTGACACAGACACCCTTGCATATATACCAGGCCAGCATGTTTACCAAATCAAATGACCATGAAAAGTGCTGAGACAACTCTGATCTATCAAAGCCCACCTTAGCTATGATGTAGATGGCACACATAAGCAGTTGGTCCAGGTGACGGTCTACCATGAGGTCAGTACAGCACACAAGAGAGTACTCAAAACAGGTCCAGATCTTCAGCCGCAGCTCATCACAAATGCCCAGTGTGGAACACAGCTCCCTCAGACGCTTGCCCATCAAGCTGTAAACCTAAACCAAAGAAGACAACATGACCACACTAAACATCATCATCTCCAAATATTAATATTAATATATATATAACAACCTCCCCTGAGAAATGATTACATTCCCACATGACATTGTGACAATGTTATTGTAGATATAATATAGTATATGGGCTATAATAGATAGTAAAAGTATAGTTTGGCCATTTGATCAGGTGGACATGAGCTAAACAGAACAGAGGATACGATGTAGTCTGTCACTAACTCGTGCATCATTTTAATCATTTTTAATGTAAAAAAATAATAATCAAACACTAGGATTAGCTGGGTTTTTTCTCTTGATAGAAAATTGTGATTGTAATTGTGGCCCCAATTATCATCGCACTCTAAGAGAATGTTATGGTGTGGTACATGAACTGACCTTGCGAGCAAACAGATGGAGGGAGTTGCTTCTCTGAGGCCTGTTTACAGCTGATGGGCAACGCTGTTGGTCAGTGCTGACTGACGGTTCAGCTCCTAAACTCAATCCATAATAAGAACAATATCGCAAGTTTGCAATTGAGAAGTGTATCAAATGGAGGAATGTATTAAATGCATTTGAAATACAATAATGTGAGCTTTAATCCACCGCATTTACTAAACCTGGTTGGTTTCTGTCAGGAGGAAAGTCTGTTCTCTTGGGATCTTCAAGTTGTGTAGGAAGCATCACCTGCGATAACACAAAGCCCTCATTAAAGCCATGTATGTGTGAAGAAACTTCTTCTGCTTCTGATGTTTTAATAAATAATCTAACTCAGAAATTGTTCCCAGTATTAAATCCTGGATAGCTCCTGGGTCCAGGTAAAGTGTTTTGGTGTGTTATTGCCAACCTGTTGGCAGGTAGGCAGATGACTCTCGTTGGCTCTGATTTCTTCCCACAGTAGTGAGTCGCTGGTCCAGGCCAAGCTCTCCAGAACTTTCTCTTCCACTCGAGCGAGGTGTCTGAACACAGCGCGAGGCAGGCCCACTTCAGTCCTCAACACCAGCTCGATCACCTGTCAGATTAGGAAAACCAAACGGATGTATCCACAAAGTTAGATGTGGAGGGGATGTTGCTTTGTTTCAAATCTCAAACCAGATAAGAAACTATCTGTAAAAAAAGTGATTGACTGCCTCTCTCCATTCTCAAACAAAACCACTGTTAAGATTTCTATGAGGAAGGAATGTAAACAGACTTTCTACTGTGATGCTTATTCTTTGAAGCGTCTCTTTTAAAGTAACAAACACTGAATTGACATCTATATGCAATGCAAACTACAAGCTTGTAGCTTGTAATTGCTACTAATGCTACTAATTGCTAATGCAACAGCTATTTGCAAAAATCCTGTCTGTGTACATTATCTTACATCATGGACATACATTTTTCATTGAATATCCATGAATGTGGAAACACACCTTCAGGAAGTTGTATGGTGCCAGTTTTAAGATCTGAGGGAGCAGAGGGAAGTCATATGGTAGACGGTTTGAGGATATGGTAATCTCCAGACAGCAGGCCACTAGACAGCACTGGAAACGCTCCTCCTCCAAGATGACCTGCAAGATGAACCGCGACAAACACTTCACACATCACAAGCAAAAGTGCTTGACTTCAAAATGTAAATGTAAGAAAATAATGCGATCAAAACCTTAATTTTTAGAGGATATAAACTTGTAGTATAACAAATTCTGTGACTGTTCACGCTGTGGTCCTAGTGTTTGACAGACGCCAGCTCCACTCGTGGTCACAGGGGGGCGGTAGACTCACCGAGATGTCACTGATTCCCAGCCTATTCCTTTCTTGACTGATGAGGTTCTCCAGGATCCTGTAATACCAGATCCCGGCTTCACAGCAGCACGTTGCGGCCAAATCTGTGAACAATATCACATCTATTATATGTGACATGTATCAACAACAAGAGCTTAATTCTAGAATATGATACCTATCATTTCAACACAGCCAGGTCTCTCATCGTGTAGGGATTTAAAATACCGTGGGTGAGCAGACAGTGGTTCCCTGCTGTGCTCAAAGAGACATTGCTTTTGATAGAAACAGTGAATATTTAAAAGGTGGTGTGTTTTGTGTCGGGCTGGGCACTGTAGCCATTCATACATCATAACATTCTAGGCTATAAACCAGTAACACTTTGAAGGCCATAATCCTCTGTCCTTCAGAAATATTTAAAGAAAGGTAACAGTGCTCCTTTAAATTCAAATGAAAGCCTTCATCTTGCATTCATCCCAAACATTCAAGTTACTATCACATCCCTTGTCCCATTATTTTAGGATCCTTAAATATGTTAGTGTACCGTTGGTGTTCTCATTTCCTGCATTGTCCCTGTGGTGTTGCAGAAATGTGTGCAGCAAACATCTCAGTCTTGTTTTGATCGCCTCGGTTGGATCTCTGGAGCAGGCCCTGAATCAGTTAATATAGTGACATGGTGGTTAGATAAACGGGGAAAACATCTGAAAAGGAAATAAAAGGCCACACAAGGTTATAGTATACAGAAATCTACTCAACTTAGCATACTGTTTACACATAGCGAAACAGTCCTTTGTCTCAATGCAAACCTGTGTGTTTTTTTTTACCAATACACCACATGGCAAATACAGTAAGTAGCCCTTGTTATATTCATGGTAATTTTCAATACTTCACATGCATGTAAGAGATATGTGGAGTGATATTGCAGCAGACAGCATTCTCTCTGTCACACTGGTGAATTATTTGGTGTGGTTTCACACTCAGATCATGTCAAACATTTATAATCTTTGCTTTGTTAAACTACTTGCTATATGCGAACATAAATTACACAGATAACATTGGAATTCTAGCACTAGATGGACCAGTGTATGAGTAATACTGTGAAACTGTAGTGCTAACCTGAACATAGCCATCAGATGGTCCCTGGGGCCAAACCGTGGCCATCCGTGGTTACCCTGAGGGCCGGCTGCCATGGTGGCCTCCGCACTCACAGAAGATGAGAGTCGGAGCAGGAATCTTAACAAGGAAAAGGAATTTAGTATTGTATTTAAATATGATTGAGTACATTTTAAAGGTGCTGGTAGGTGTGTTACTGTACATCTCAGATAGTAAAAGTTCCCAAACATGGACTACTGCTCCATTTTGGCAGCAGGTAACTTTGCTTTAAGATTGACAAGCGTATTACTTTGTCGGTTAGAGGATGGAGAGCATTAACTGAGTTGAGTGTGAAATTACAAATATTTTAGATACCAGAGAAGATTTGTGTCTGTAAGAGGGTTTGGAAAACAAGATGATTGTAGGCTTAACTGACTGTGTTCTTTGTCAGCTTCCATTAAAGGAGCTTTTGTCCCAGGCGGTATGTGAAAAAGTATCATAGGGGATTAGAGGCCATGCGTCTTAACTATGCCTCTTTTTAGAAGAGAGCTGTTTGTGTTTCAGGTCTGCCACGCCCCTTTGTGATCGCTGACACACCCACACCTGAGAGTCCTCAGTTAATCAGTGGAGCTTAATATCAGCCCCCAGATCCAGTGTTTCTCCTCTTTTGTTCTCTCTTGGCCTGTAGAGCTGTTGGTTCACTGCTGCTGCCGAGAGCATTGGTACTGCCGTAGCTGGGCTTCTGATTGTTCCTGACTACAGAACTATGTGGTCTAACTTTGGGGAAGCTGTCTAGGGGTTTTCTGCCATTTATTTTGTAATTCCTGTGGTTTTTGTGGCAAGTTAGGGAGCTCAGTATTGTTTTCCTGTTTGTTTCCGTAGGCCAGCTGAACTCTTTTCTAGTTAGCGTGTTTTTTATTTATTTTAGCCTTAGAGACCCTGACCTCCACGCTTCCACTTTAGTTGGTTTGTTTCTGTTCATCTATAGTATACTGTGTTAAGAAATGTAACTGATTGCAGCTGCCTTATCCTCTCATTTTGTTAAACCATTTGCCAAGGGTTATGTTACTTCCTGTGTACCCATAGGCACACTAAATAGGCCGTAACACCACCCTTCAACTTTTCCTTTGTTTTAGGCCTGGTGGTTCTTTTACTTTGAATACTCTTTCCTTTTCCATTAGAGGAACACTGTTAACTCATCCATTTCAGTTTAGCTGTGTGTGTTTGTTCCCCTCTGACTGACTTAGACAGACCTCAGTGTACTGTGTCTGCAGACGAGATGTGGTGATACACAAGGACATAATTAACGGGCGGGGTCGCATATCTTTAAGTAATCTAGCCATTGAAAACGGCACTGTTGAATTGCTGTAATTTTTTTAGCCAACATGTTATTTCAATGGAGGACAGTCACTCTACCACTTCACGCAACATGTTCATTAAAGTTATTTTTGTTTTTTGTAAATTATTTGTTGTGTCTGTAACCCAGCAGGCAAAGTTGCCCCATGAACCTGCTTCGAAGGGGATGGATGAGATGTTTTCCTGTGAACTACGAGGTCATTCAGAGGCTGAATGGCCACGCGCAACAAATGGAATCACATGGTTGCTGCATCCCTTGTTAGCTAGCTAACAGCTGTCGTCTTTGGCTATGTGGGGCAAATAAACAAACGACGCAGCAATCAATTCACCCTATTATGTGAGACAAAAATTAAAGATTATTCTTGATTCATGTGGATGTGATCCAGGGAAGTTTTAGGTCAACCACCCAAATAGGGGAAGTCAAATTTGCTATGAAACAATGTAAACTGTGTCAAATAAGATAGCTCAGGGTAATAGAGGACTGGTCTGAGTACTTGAGGTGTTCAAATATTTTATGGTGCCATGAATTCTGAGGTCTAACAGCAAATAAATGATTTACACAGAATATTTCTAAATGCGAGTAGCATTTGGGGGTGTCGTTGGTTAGTTCCCGGTTTGGAAGTCGCCGGGGCAATTCCTGCACGATAAGAGGACACCAGTACCCACAGCATCACTGCAGAATAAAGGAGACACGTGTCCCCTCCCAGTGTATTGGACACATTGAAGCAGGGGTTATGGGACAGAAAAACACTTTGTTTTATTTTTATTTTTTTAGGGAAAATGTCATAATCTGAGAGTCAACTTGAAATGGGGTTGTTGAGCCCTCTGAGTTTATACAATAAAAGAAGTTGGATAAAGATGGATAAAGCGGAAGAAGTGAAGAAACTCCGCCGTCTTCAATTTTGGTCCAGAACTCTGCTGTCATCTGGGGAGAAATTGAATAGGACAACATAAGAACACTACTACCACTACTACTACTACTACTACTACAATAGTGGTTCTAAAATGTTTGAAGACTGATTGCAAACTTGTTCTATGACATTTTTATGATATACTATACTATGACTGTTTATGGCTTGCTACACTATATTTTACATTTGTGGCATAACATACCATGATATTTTCATGACTGTTTCTTATGACATTTTTAAGACTTATTTTAAGACATAAAATGTCATTTTACTACACCAAGACTTTTATGTCATACTATACTATGACCTTTTTTCATTTTTATGGCATATTATACTATGACATTGTATGTCATACTTTGCTGTAACAGTTTTCATGACATTTGTATTGCATACTATACTATGACCTTTTATGGCACACTATACCAAGACATTTTTGAATAACATACTTTGACAAATCGTTTTTTTATATGCCATACTATGTATTTTTATGGCATTTTATAGGTTATATTGTCATGTCATCATACTGTAACGTTTGTATTCTGCCTGTATCAAATCAAAAACAATAGAAAGTAAAAGTTATTTTTTAAATAAACAAAGGCATTGTCAATTGTTATGCATTGCAGAATACAATGTGTATGTTTCAAACTGCGTTTACATGTTTATGAAGGCATCATGTAGCGCTAGTCTAGCTCTCGTCATAACAATTGGACAAAGAAACTCCTGCTAGACTAATGAAAAAGCTATTTGGCTCACCTGGCTGTTGAGAATCTGCAATTTCTCTCCAACTCTTCCGTTTCTCGAGCAGGTTGTGGCACAGCTCGCTTCACACATCGACAATGCATTAGTGCTCCTCCATTGCTTTGGTCTGAGCAATTTGTGATCGTGCGCTTATTGTTTTTTTCAGTGCAACGACAACGTTGGTCCGTGTTGCAAATTCAACACGTACAACAAGTTCCTACTGGTGCATGCGACCCTCAGCCCTTCTGTTGGGGAGCTCCAAAAAGTGCCGGCGAGTGGCAAATCAAGGGGAGGGGCTAAAGTCGTGTAATGTTAGCCAACCATAAGATCCCTAGGTGCAGTGATATGTGTTGCATAGGTGTCTAGTGACAATTTGACAAGGTTACCACGTTGAGAGAGATGGAGTAGCCTATCCTTATTACGGAGAGAGAAAATCTACATCTTCCCATTCCACTTGATTTTTTTTTTTTTTTTACTGTTGTCCTAAGACCAGGTTTGTCTCTGTGAGTGTAAACTAACAGAGACAACACTAATAATCAGTAGAAGACACAGAGTGAAGAAACACTTGCATTTATGTAAAAGATATGTCTTCACCAAAGTATTCCCCATCTCCAAAAGATTCATCTCCAGTTAAACAGCTGCTTTCCTCCTAAAGGACCAGAGTCTGTCTGCAGTGTAGGTTATTCTGTGTGGACGGAGCAGAGGCCTTCTTTCCTCTGAATGAGCATTCATTCGTTTATTCATTCAGTTAATGGACAAAACAACATTCCTTTGTTCTCAGACAATATAATGCCACGTCATCTTTGTCATGGTTTGTGACTACTTTCCACAGCTGCAGGTTTAAAACCAGACATATCTGTAGCAAGACAGCACCCACTACTAATGCATATTGACAGAAATTTGGAAGCATCAGTAGGCCTATGCATCCACGTAGACACTCATATAAATCATACGCCATTATATTAATGCAGACCTCAAGGTCCACCTCATGATAAAAAAAATGCCCTGGTTAGTAAATTAATCTTTGGATATCCTCCTTTGAGAGTAAAGAAAGAAAGAAAACAGATGAACTTGACTGAAGCAAACACAGAAAATAGTTTTTAAACCCGGATGAGACTCAAAAGCCTTTTGTCATGCTTCATTATGTTCCGCATTCTATCTTTTGTCTTAAAAAAAACAAACAAGTTACTGAAAAACACATACGTTTCATTTGACCTGTAATGGCATTTATTCATCTAGATAGTTTTGGCGTGAGTTGCCTTATTTTTGGAGATATTGGCTGTAGAGATGTCTGCCTTCTCTCCAATATAATGGGGCTGTATGGCACTCGGCTTGTGGAGGAAAGAGCCTAAAATATACATTTGAAAAACTCAACAGAAATGTCTCTTTCAAAAAAAAAAAAAAAATCATAACCCGGTTACTCAAGATAATCCACAGACCTTGTGAGCAGTTTCATGTAGGAGCTCTTTATTTCAACCATAGTTATATGTATAATATGTAGAACAACTTGCATTATAAGGAAAGAAACTAGCTTTCCATATGTCGTCCGACACTACATGTTTGTTTGGTGTTACTATATCTCTGGAAACTCAGTAATAAATCAGAAATCCATTCACACTGAGAAAAGCATGATCTCTTGCTATGTTTTATGGGTTACACCCATTTCCTGTTTTCTTCACTGACAGGAGTTCGATATAAATAGGCCTTTCTTTCACTTCAGACACATGTTCAACATTTAAATGTTACTCTCGATAACTGAATTCATGTTTTTATTATCATATTCTTTATTGTTAGTGCATTAAGTCCTGGCTGCAGCAGAGACCTTTTTTGGCTAACTGTATGATGATGACAGTGTAACATTTTGCTTGTCAGCCGAGTTTCCATGCAACATGTCGGCCATGTCATCTAAGGTGAAATTTTGACTGACAAACAAGACTGGAGTCATAAAGCGGGTCAAAGTCACTTACCAGTGTCTGTCACTCTTGTGAGTTGTCGTTCGCCAGCTTGAGGGTCTTCTGATCTCAATCCCGTGTGTGTGTGTGTGTCTCTCATGTCCAGCTAGTAGCAGAGCAGTGGTGCAGCATGGCTCAGAGTAGTCAACCTGCTGCTGTATTGCGGAAGTTCATATCACTGGCCTCTCTCAGACAAGCCCCGACATGTTACTTGGGTCTGGTTGCTATGAGAAGCAATGAACAGTCTAGAAGGAACCCACACAGGCCACTGAGCACCACCAAGAGGAGGACTGGAGGACTTGCAGCAGAGAGGAAAACCTGCCAGCCCTTTGCTGTAACACAGATGATGCACTGATGTCCGGTCAGAACACCGTATGGGACACAGATGATGTACTGATGTCCGGTCAGAACACCGTATGGGACACAGATGATGCACTGATGTCCGGTCAGAACACCGTATGGGACACAGATGATGTACTGATGTCCGGTCAGAACACCGTATATTAAAGCATGTGGTGTTGGGTAAGATCATTTGGAAAACGTTTGACTACCAATACAATGTGCAAAGAATGTTGGAAACATCAACCAATTACATATTTCTACATGCAGTGGATCAGCAACATCCCAACAGTTTTTGAAACCTTTGTGCAGTACTTGTGTACTGAATGTTGCATTGATTACAACAGTTAGCACCGAGATAACTCTTATAGAGCTCCTTTTAGTGAATAGCACTTTGATTTAAAAGAGAAACAATTTCAACTTAAAAGAGTAGGATGGAAAAAGCTGAGTTAGGGTACAGTTACCTCAACATAAGCAAGTACAGTTTGATTTCTGTTACAGGAGAGTTGTATGCATAGAAAAACTTAAGCGCTTTCATCCAGGCTCACATGAAAATGTGTTTGTGCCGTCTCCTGAATCTGCTCCGAGTGCCAGTGTGGAAAACAAATTGGAGCCAAACAGTAACGTGTGAGGAGCACAAGTGCCGTGAAGTCGCTGACGCTGATGATTTGTTGAGTAAGGCCCCAGACAAAGCAACAGGCAAAGGCACACTCAATTGATAGTCAGAAGAATATGTTTAATAAAAATAATTAAACCTCAAATTTCCTCTATAGAACTTCATAGAAAGTAATCCAATAAATTACAAATGACTTTTAAGACGCATTTTCCTGCACTACATAAAGAATTATTTTGACTACACAGACCACAACTTCAAATATTACAACTGTCCAATGAAAATGAAAAAATGAAAAAAAAAAAAAAAAGACTGACCAGGATATTAGGATATTATCAAGCTTGAAATCAAAATACAAAACCAATGATACTAGGTTTGTCATCTCAGTGATTACATGTATGAATACGAAAAGAAAAAAAAACCCTCCCTGTACAGCAGTAGTGAGTTTTGTCATTCCTCTTGCATATTGGTCATCATTTACTTGTGTTTAATGCAGATTCAACACTGCCTCTCTAGCACTGGCAGCGCTTTGGGAGTCCTTGTACAGTACAACCTAGAAACAAAATGAAAAGACAAGCAACAGCAAAAAAGTCCAATCTTATGTCCACCATCCCCCCCCCCGATTTGTGTCCTAAAGAGGCTCAGCGCGGTCATCAATCCCTCAACCCATCGCTGCACAGCAACAAAAAGTAGCAAAAGTCCTTCGACCAATCACCTACAGCAGAAGTAGCAATGGCTGGGTGTTTGCATAAGGGCACTACGAGTTAAAAGTCAGCAGAGGTGCAGATATACAAAATGACAGTGGCATGTTTAAGTTCATTGCTCAGACATAGAAAAATACTCGTACTGTTAGTAATAATATAGAAAAAAAAAAAAAAGTGATTGCATTGCAAGCAATAACCCATGATGAGGTCTATGACAGGCATACAAGGAAATCACTTAAAAGCAAAATTAGAAATCAAAAAGGGTCTTCAGTCTTTGTGTTGAGACTGTGAGGCTGCTCATGGTTTCAGCAACGACAGAACAATGCTACAGCAATACTTCAGAACTCAATAGACTGAGCTAATTCAGTGGGGATCCGTTGAACCCAGTCCAAACAAAAGAAATCATTTTTGAAACGTGTATCTAACAGTCCACTGTTTAACAGCAGTCCTAAAGCGAGCACTGTTGTGCTGAGAGAAAAATTACAAAAAGGTGCTTCAGCTCGATCGAACTCCAGTGTTTACGTGTATCCCGGTTACAGCTGAACGTGAACGTGTGCAGAGACGATGAACAAGATGCACAAGCGTGGACACTGCGCACAAAATCGGAGCAGTTTGTTAGTCAGACAGAAGTCGAATGAGAGCGTGAGGAACAGGATAAGGGCACTTCTACATCTAGCTGAAGCTCCGCTCATCAGCAGAATAGAGTCGAGACAAAGTGAAACACACACACACACACACACACACACACACAACCACGCTGCAAACTCCCAGCAACACAAGCTGCTTTTTCTTCAGCCCCTTCCTGAAGCGAACTCATCTGGCACTCTGTAAAATGTAATACTCAATTACTACAATCTTAGCAAGGTTTTGAACTATTTTGTGCTTGTGCATGTTGTGTAAGACTTTGGATTCTGTGTTGCATGACCACCTGTCTACCAAAGAACTGTAATTTCCCCCCCGAATTTCTTATGAGACGTTTGAAGGTCTAAAACACTGGTATTAGTAGTAGTTTTCTACTGGTCAGAGATTTGCAAGGCCCCCCCTTCCTAAATACACAACATTCAGACTGGAACGTTATGGAAGCAGGAGACACCAGGTGAGTGGAGTCCAGCCAGAGAAAAACACAGTGGAAGCTCTCAGTAAAAAAGAAAAAGGCTTCCGACACACACGTTTCAGCAGAGACGAGGACATTATGTACATGGACAGCAAGAAAACACACCCATGCACATCTGCACAGTGAAGCCAATCCATCTAGCACAGTTGAGGTAAGATGCAGTTTAATACGCCGGGGTTGTAGTAATAATATCCACGTCATCAATAATCCTGAATGGCTCTTCTACAGAGACCACTAAACTAAGTCAGGACCTCAAAGGGTCAAAGGGCAGTTTTTGGCACACAGTAAAAGGTTGTTTTCTATCCTCACAGCTCGATGAGTTTATTAGACTCTTGACGCTGTAGTCCAAATCAACAGATGTGCACGTGAACGTGTATGCCAACTGAGAGTAGCTAAAGTGCACCGTGGACATGTGACATGTTTGTAAGGTTATGGTGAAAATTAGGAATTTCTGAAATTAGATATCAATGTGAAAAATTAAACCTATAAAAAATAAATAATGGCAGAGAAATGAACTATGATCCATTTTGACGGATTTAAGTTTGTGTGTTTGATTGAAAAAGGAAAGCTTTCACATTTTTTCCCCCTAATCAATGCGATAATAAAGCAGGAGCTTCAGGTTATTCCAAGAAACGATGTGAACTGATGCAGAAACGAACTTAACGTGATATGAAGGTAAGTGAGGCTGCGTGACTTGTGCACTGGCGTGGAATATGGCAGACAGTGAATCTACAGCTTCAGTGACATTCATTAGCTGCCCAAGTTATTGCCGACATATCCAACGTATGATCTGCAAAGCATAAGTGTCAACGAACCTGTAAAATTACCCACTATTTACAAGAGAAACCAAAGTGTCTGCCAGGAGTCCCCCCCCCCCCCAAATATATTAATAGTACAGCTCAACGAGCGTGTTGATGTAGTTTCACTTTTTTAATAAAATTAAATCCTGACATAATTACAATAATGCCGTTTTTTTGTTGTAATTGTACACAATTGTGGTTCACAGAGTTCAGAAATCTACTAAAGTCTGACATGCAAAATGTCTCAAAACAAGACTGTACCTTGTGAACAAACACTGAAATTTTATTTCAGTTCTTTTTAAGTCAGTTTTTCCTGTTTTTGTAAGGTTTTTGTAGTCTTTATTACACAACATTTTAGTTAGTTCTTGTATTTACATGTAAAGAAATCGTAACATAAGTGCTGGAAAATCCATATATATGTGAATATATGTATACATTTCTAGGCGATACATAAATAAATTTATAATTATATATTCATGGGTTCAGTTCTAATCACTAGAGTCTGAATCATCTGATGAAGAAGAGCCCCCAGACTCTGATGAAGACGACTCGGCTTTCCCCGAACCCTCAGGACCACTGTTCTCCTTTTGTTCTGCGGAGTCCTCTTCGTCGTCTAATGCCTCGTCATCCTCGTCTCCGTCCCTCTCTGCCACCAGCCGCTCGATCTCCTGCGCCGATGACTGCGAGACCGCAGGCGGAGGAGGACGAGCAGGAGGGAGGGTGGGGTCACTGTTTGAGCTCTGCGGCTGTGTGGCAGACACAGGAAGGTTAAGGCCTGGAGTGAGAAGCATCCCTGGGTAAAGCATACTGGAAAGTAACAAGGGGTTAAGAGACAGTGGGTGACTGGAGGCTGCAGAGGCAGCTGAAGCACTTTGTGGGGCGGTGGCAGAGGAAGAGGAGCTGGAAGTGGAGGAAGGAGTCGTGTTCGGCCCCTCTGTCCTTTCTCCTTTGGTGTCCGAGGTGTGAGCGGGGAACTTAGAGGCAGACAGCTCTTTCGTCTTCTCCTCAGAGCTTCCTGTGCACTCCTGAGCAGGCTTCCCAAGCAAGCTACTCATGCCCAGCAGGTTTGGCAATCCAGCCATACCAGACAGCATCATGGGAAACATGGCAGCCAAGTTACTTGCAGCCATGTTGCTAGCGTCAGACGGCAGCCCCATCAGGCCCGCGGTGAGCTGCAGGGACTGTAAGCTCTGGAGGTTTTGCTGGAAGGCCTGCAGGCTGGTCAGGTCCATCCCAGAGAGGAGGCCGTTGGCCAGCAGGGGGTTCAGGCCCAGGGCGGAGACCGCTTGGTTGGGTGCTGCTGCTGCAGCTGCTGCCGCTGCCGCCGTTGCCTTGGCCAGAGGATTCTTAGGTCGACGGCCACGCCGGCTCACCTCCTCAGGAACGATGGGTCCCGTTAGGATTCTGTCAAACATGCTCTCTGGAAGGTAACCCTGGAGAGAACATGGAAGGTATATGCATGGTTAGCAGTGGGGTTAACACACACACACACACATATTCATTGCTAGTTTATTAGGTACACCTAGCTAACACTAATGAAGTCCAATAAAACAGCCCTGCAACAATTCAACAGCATCACAACCTACAGCCTTCAAAATCACCTCCCTAAAAACACGTTAAGGCCTTCATGAAAGGATTTGTTGCTGTGCAGTTGTATTAGTTTTGGCTGGGAGTAACTAATAAACTGGTAACTGTCTGTATATCCACACTGTTATATGGCCTTTCATGATTTAACAGTTCTGATCTGATGAATGTGTTACTTTGTGACTCACCGAGTGTTTGACCACGTCAGCCCATTCAGGTGGGACTCCGTACTCGGGGTTCTCCTGAAGGAACCGGCACAGCTCCTTCAGAGGAGGAGCAAAGGCTCCACCAACCTACAAGCAAGATTACAGACAACATGAACCAAAGTGCACAACAGGCCAGATAAATATTCTACATTTAGGAAACATACAGTCATCTAACCACATAGAACACACCTTGCGAGCATTTCTCCTGTTGATGATCTGAACCCTTTCCTCTCCGGTCAGACTGTTCACATCAATCTTGTTGGGGTTCCTGCAGCGGTGCCTCTTCTGCTTGGGCCGCCCGTCCTGGAAGTGGAACTGCATTTGCATCTTATTTACACCCTGGACATAAAATGTCAAACTGATGTTCAGTAGAGCATATTTATTCCATGAAATCTTAATTTAAACCCTCTGTGAACATGTTTATATCTTTTTATATCATATTATCTGATCATGGATTTACCTTTAACACTACACAAACCTTCCTATAGGAAAAAAAAGGACTCACAGGGATAAAAGCTCCTGTGTCTGCCACAAAGCCAGGGTGCTCCATTAGCCACTGTTCAAGATCTTTCCTCCTGGGAGCATCATCGCCAGCAAGCCTGGTGCCATCTTTGAGGTTGATGACGGGGACCCTGCTGTCGGTGTCCGCGGGGACCTGATTAGAGCTCTGGCTGAAGCCCGGCACAGGGGCCACAGCCATGCCCACCTGGCCAATACCTCCCCACCCTGGAGGCACCTGGAGACACACGAGCACAAAACAGTGTTTTATATTATTTACATCACAGTTCATCATATACACCACACTGGGGCAAACAGTTATCATTATCATTTCTTATTTGAAGGTTTGCGGTACCATGAACCTGTATTATGGCACACAAGCTCCTCAGATAGCTGCTTACCTGATCAGGAACAGAAGGGACTCTACTCCTGTTCATGAAGAGCAGGTCCATCCCCTCCACGTTCTTCCTCCTTCCCCTCCGCCTCTTCACCACTGGCTGACCATCCAGTACTCCGTTCAGCCTCATCTGACCAGTAAGATCTGGAGGCACTGCAGAAGAAGCACCTTGTTAGCTGTGAACTACTGTGTGAAGTTTGGCCTAATTAAAAGTGAAATGATGAAACCTTAAGATATATTCTCTTTTTGCTTTAAATTTGATTTTTTTATAACTTTCATCTCCAGCATCAGTTAGGTACTTTATCAAAAGGTCAGATGACATATTTCGGACTGAACATATAGATTTTTCTACTAAGTAAATGTCCGCGCAATCAAAGCCAGTAGGGCTTAAGAAGATGGCTAGTGTCGATGCAGTCTTCCAAGTCAAAAACAATACATTGCTGCCATGTAGTGGTGGTAAAGAAAACAGGCTGGACCATCTCACGCAACACATTCTGTATGGACAGGTCTTACGGTATTTGCTGTATTTTAAATAAACACACCAGTCTGGAAGCTGCACTGAGGCTTGGTGATGTCAGCCAGGCCGGTGTCCGAGGCGCTCTGCAGCTCGTGAAGCCGTGCCAGGTACTGTTGCTGGGCCTGGGGGCCCTCCTCCGACTCCAGGGGCCTCTTCAGAGGTAGACCTTGTTTCTGGAAGGTCAACTTCAGACTTCCCTCCTGCTATACACACAGACAAACATGGTGTTGGATACATCTTGGATGATTTATAGTCTTCTTCTGTTTTGGGAGTTTGTCTATCCAGTGTTTTAAGGATCATAAAGCAAATGTGTCTTGTGTCTTTCATATCGCTAATATTGCTATATACTGGTGGGCATGTTGGTTTTTAAATTTGTGTAGTAAATTATCATTTTATTTGAAAGAATTTCTTACAATAAATGTAAATATTTCCATGTATTTCATTGTTAGTAGTATTGGGACACATGAACACACAGAGGCAAGTGGCTGGTCGGGCAGTGGGTAAAGTCTATCCACAGTTTGAACTGTAGTGGGAAGCCATGCCAAAGAGATAGCTGCTGTCAGCATAAAATTATTTTATAGGTAACAAACAGCAGGTGTCTGAGGGTCTGCCATGGTAAAAACCATACAATGTTGGGAAAGAATCAAAAAGCAACACAAAAGCAAGGAATAAATGGAGGCAAGTGAGAGGCCTGCAAAGTTAATAGCCATGTCGCCTTGAAGCAGATTAGAGAACACCCACAGCCAAGGTCTCCATTTCAATCAGATTATAAGCAAGACCCCTTCAGTCTAGAGAGGCTTCAAGCTGAACCTTATTATATTCTCATGACCGAGTGATTTGTGCTCATGTAATCACAGCCTCAGAGCCCAATTCAAACTGAGTGTGTGGGAAAGGAGAGGAAGGCTGCTATTAAATTAATCTCTCCTCCTGCCAGGCAGTCAAAACCACTAATCACACCCAAAGGAAAGAAGGAAGAAAACCAGTGAAACATGCTGAACACGGCAGCTAGCACCGGCCATGGCAGCGGAAGTAGTAGGGTCCTACAATTAGGGCAAAGCGGAGGGAGGAGGGGAGGAAGGGAGAAATCAACATACATCGTTCAGTTTTACTGAGAACTCCTTGTTTTCTGCAACATGCTTGGTCACCTTTGACCCCTGTGGTGAGGCAGAGGGGTCCTCGCACAGGCTGTTGGCGTTGTCCAGCAGCTTGGTGGTGTAGAAGGAGGCCACTGCACCTCCAGGCTCGTAGACCCGACGTGTTCCAGGCCACTTGCCCTTCAGCACTGCCTGGCAGATGCTGTCCAGGCGGTTGATGATCACGCGATCCTAAATGATCAGCACACACAATCAGCACACTCAAACTCTGTGAAATCAGTTTGATTATCAGAGACAGATACTTATTCAATGATTAAATATTCCCCTTTTAGCTGAATACTTGATTTGATGCTTTGTAAGCCATGCAGCGTTGTTATGCATCTCTGCATCACCACAGTGACAGCAGTTCACCTTTGGCCAGTAGGATGCAGCGAGCATGTATCCTCCTCCTCCCTGGAAAGGATGCGACGAGTTGTTGGTGATGCCGTTCTCCGCTGCATGGGTGTCTTGGGTTTCGTCCTGCGTAGTGCTCAGAGACGCCACACTGTCCTCATCGAAGCCCTTCACACTTGTTGCTGCAGGCACTGAGAATGTCACAGGACACAGAGACAGACATTAGAAACACACTTAAACCTGAGTCAGAGAGAAAGTGTGCAGACTTCTTGCCACACAGTTTTATGTATTGTGTAATATATTGGTGTATTGCCGTCCAGAGCCAAACAATTAAACCATATACATGGTATATTATATTAACACCATCTAGATGGTCAGTCATTTTGTGAAATATGTCTTCGCTCCAAACAACACAAGAAATATTATGTTTTTTTGTCACCTACACATTATTAGAAAGAGTTTGGGTTTGAGGTACTCACCTTTCTTCTTCCCTTCCTCTCCCTCACTTCCACTGTCATCAGACGATGATGAGGAGGACGATGATGATGAAGAGCCAGAGGAGCAAGACGATGAAGAGGAAGAGGAGCTGGACCCGGAATGTGACGAGGAAGAAGAGGAGGATGAGGAGGAGGAAGAGGAGCGCGATGAAGAGCTTGAGGAGGAGCCACCTGAGTCGGACTCTGAGCCACGCCTGGCCTCCCTGCGGCTCCTCTTGGCCTTCTTAGGCTTCCTCTCAGAGGAGTTGGGTGTGAGCGGTTTGGTTCGTGCCGCCACCATCTGCCTCTCTTTATCTCTCGCTTCAGACAACGGCTTCTCCTCCAGACCTGTGGGAGTAGCCGGTGCTGGAGGAGGGCTCCAACTCTCCCCCTGCTTCTCCCGGCCCTCCTCCCCCTCTGAGGCTGGTTCCACTTTGGGTACAACCCCACTGGGCTCTGTCTCTCTCTGGGCAGGTGGAGGCAGCGGAGAGGCTGTCAACACTGAGCTGGGGGCCTGCTGGCACTGAGGGTGTAGAAGTGGGGTGGATGTGCGCGATTGCTGCTGTGTAGCTTTTGTTTGGCTGTAGTTGCGTTGGGCAGCCATGAAGCTGAGCTCAGCGTCTCTCAGAATGTGGTAATCTGTGCGGCTGACGCCGTGTTTGGCAGCTCCAATCAGCAGGTCACGGTCATGGCTACCAGCCTCCCACCAGACGGGCAGGTCTGAGCTCATCTGGCACAACGGCAGGCGCTCATAGAGTAACTGATGGCAAAGAACCTGTTCCCTCACCTGGCGAAGCAACTCTACTCTGTACAGCGTACGAGACGCTCGCTCCTCTGTGATGGGCTGGATGGTCAGAGACAGATCCACCGCAGAGTCTGGAACAAAGAAGAAGGTGTGAGAGAGAGTGAGAGGAAATAAACGCTGCCAAAGACCTGTTTGTGCCTGGAGTCCAAACATCACACTGTTTGTCTTTCTACAAATCATTAACCTTATCAGCCTCAATAATGCTGCGCGAGCTTATTTATTAAGGTGCCACTGACCTCCCTCCAAAATCAAACCATGAATGAGTTCAGGTCATAAGGCAATAACCGTAAGCACTGTTACTGACATTGCCTTGTAGATGTCACATCAGGGCATTGTGCAATAAAGAATAAATGCATAATAAATCCTAATATGGCATTTTCACTGACCAGCTATTGGTTGACAGATACAAGACACATACTTATTTTCATTTCATTCATAAATTCATTTGTTACTAAAAAAATGTTTAGCAATTGGACGAGCATAATTGCTTGTTATGATCATAGGGTATAGCAGTTAACAGGGTGACTGCTTTAAGTCAAAACACAACAGAGAGATGTGGTCGTCTGAGTTTCCACACTTCCTCACTTGGTGTAAGGTGTACAATTCACGACTTGCGTGCGTGTGTGTGTGTGTGTCTACATATGGTAATAAGCTAGTCGATTTCTGACCTCCCTCTTTGGGTGGCAGGCGACACACCCTTCGGCACATGGAGGTAAAAGCACACAGGTATTTCTGCAGGCTCTCGTCAGTCTTTTTGTGCAGCCGAGCCATGGCCCTGAACTTGGTCCAGTCGAACCGGCCAGGGTTTGGGTCGAAAACAACACCAAAAGTGGAGACCACACGGTAGAAGTCAGCCTCTTCTCGCCTGGTCCATCTGGGGAAAGTGAGAAAAGCACCCTGTAGTAACAATCTAATCTTTGATATTCTTTCTCACTGATCAAAACATTTCATGTTTCAGCAAAAACATTGACCGGCTCTGTGTTCTGACCTTTGCTGCCGTTCAATCTTAGCAACCATCTTGGGGTTGAGGGTGTCGTTGAGTGAGGGGGGCAGCGGACACAGTGGAGCAGACAGTATCATGGTCGACGGAGACGGAGTCTGAGTCTGGTGGATCTGGTGGATCTGGAGGATCTGCCGGCTCTTGGTGTAGCGCTGGGAGGCCGTGATCAGTCGCCTCAGCCTGGCTGTCAGCACCGAGGGGGATGGCCAGTAGGAAGTTTCACCTCCAGTCACTGGAACTGCGTCTGGATCAGAATAATATACAGCACAAAGAACGTTCAAATTCCCAAAATCTGCATGCCATTATTTATACATTTGTTTGTAATTTTTGTAGGAAGCATGTCGCGCACGTGTCATTTTCCTTTTAACTTTAAAATTCACAACTTTTCAGATTTCTGCCATCGGTGGGAAGCCTGTATTTAAAATAATCACAGTAAAGATAATCCACTGTGGATTACAAGCATCCAATACTCACCTCCGGCATTGTCAGTGACAACCAAGTCTCCAGGAGAAGAGGCATCATCCTGCATGAGAAGACAGTGTAGTGTGTGTTTATGACAGGACAATGTTTAATTATAAAATCAGACGGGGGGGATATTTATCACAGGATCAACATGCACCACTGGTTCACGTGGCCTTACCTCCATATCATCCTTCAGCAGAGCTGGAGCAGGCTTGTACTCGGGGTCATCCACATCCCTGCGCACACAGATAAAGTTTGTGTCAGTTTTACAGTTGACGACTAAGACGATACATTTTGTTTTTTAAATATCTAAAACCTAAGCAAAGCACATTAAAACAAAAGGCAACATAATGTTAGTACTGACCCATCCATGAAATCGTTGCCTCTCTGTTCGGCAGCGATGGCTTTCTCATCTGGACGTCCCACACGGTCTAGGAAGCACAGGGTCGGGTCTGCACGGACTGTGTTGTACTTCTCATAACCTGGGAGAGCACAGGCGGTAAAGCAAATACCAAAAAAGTTAGCACACGGAAACTCTTAGATAGTGACCAGGCAATATACACAAGCTGGAGGATTTCCCACAATCACCTGGTATCAAAGGAAAAAGTACAGACAGTGAAGCCAAAAATTATAAGTTCACTTTTTTTCCCCGTTTTAAAACAATTTGTCTCAGAGAAACTTTAAATACTGTTATATAGTTACTCATTTTATATCAGGTACTGACTTTCCCCCTTCTGTAAAGTAACCACAGATGCTTTTAGAGTATAGTCGAGACTAACTTCAACTCTAGGGCACACATTTCTCATTTAGATTACCTTATTTAAACAAGTCACAGTACAGGTTGAGGTTTCTCACCATGCTTATAGACACCCAGCAGCAGACACTTGTCACAGATGGCATCCCACCACAATGCTGGCAGCTCCGAATGGTCAGGGTCTGGCACCCAGATCTTTATCTCACTAATGAGGAGGAGGACATTTAGACAGATACCATGTGGGGGAATCTTTATTGATTAGATCCATTTACTGACACTTTTAATCTGCTCCCATATGCGGTCTTAATTTGCTTTTATAACACTAACTGTCCAGGAGGTCAAACACACAGCTCCCCATGGAGTGCTTTTATTGTGAAACAACAAATCAGAATTGTGGAACAATAAAAGCTTCTGATTTTCTTGTTAACGGCCGTCTTTATTAAACATTTTCAACATCGCTGTGTAAAAGCAAACAAAAATGAAAAAGTCCCCCATCTTTAACCAGCAGATGGCACTCTGGAACCGTCTTATTCATTTAGCTGATCAGTCGTTTCTTCCTTCAACAGGTTGATACCATATGCTAATGACCATGAATCCATCTTACCAAACTATTCCATTATCTGAGCAGGTCTGGAATCCTACAACCACCCTAGGCAGTGGTTGGGTACCATCGACTGTATTACATTTGTTAAATAAAGTGCTTGTGTTTCAAGAGTCTCTAAAAAAAGCAAACAATGATTAAAAACATAGGGCAGCAAGTGTATGTAAGGTAAGGTAACAGCTGCTCACCTGGAGTCCACGCCGTCGAGCACCGTCTGGGCCTGGCTTCCTATCACCTCTTGTTTCAGGTAGTAGAGCATTCTGACCCTGAGCAGCACCCTGCACAGAGAAAACCCACTGGTCACAACAAAGCCCTGACCACGCACAAATGCTGAGTGAGCAGAACCAACACACGCGCAGCAACTTGTTGAACACAATGCAAACGAGTGAAATGTGTGACAATTTAATCCTAAAACTGCCCCGCATAGTCCTCGTCCCATCATTTCACACAAACAGCATACACTCTACTGAATTCATGTTTAATACAGACACCTGTACTGTAGGATTTTTACAGCTATGAATGTTAAGTCATTTATAGCTGTACAGGCCTTCCACAGAGCAGGTATACACAACAGGCCTCATCAATTAAGTTGTTGAATTAGAGTTTCAATGAAGTTGACACTCGTGTACGGACCACATGGGGAGTCATGGGCAGTTCCACAGCCAGGCCCCGCGGACTGAATGAACAGACAACGGTCTCTCTCCAGTCGTCGTGTGGTCGTGCTCTGGCAGTAGATGAAGGCTGGGAAGTCGAGGCTGACAAGGTAGCGAGAGGCTGACTCACAGGGGAGACATTAGCTCTGTGATGCATGATCACACATCAGAGCCAGCAGGCTTTGAGCGAAGACGCAGTGAAGTGGTGGGAACTGTGGTGCGCTGGTGTGCCAGGCTGTAACGTCTAGTATGCCTTGAGATTTTGCTTAATGTAGAAAGCGGTCTGTGTAATAATTTCTGTCCCAACACAAAACTATTTGATATCTCATCCTGTAAAGCGGTGGCATGGAGGTTTTGGGGAATTCTGGCACGAGGGTAAAAATCTCTGTGGGGCATTGCTATTAATGTGGAGTCATTAGCTGTCCTACAATTACTCTTCACAAAATGGTTACATCTCAGATGATACTGTACTCTCCACTGACTTTGCCAAATGAGCAGGGAAATTTAGGAAAAATCCAAATTGGCACATCCCCGAAACCTGTTGCCTGACTACTAGTGTCGTAATAGTTGTTCCTAAATAGGACTAAGAACACGGAGTGAAGTAACATCTCCAGATAAACTTTTATATTTTCTACTACTTTGTATTTGCAAAAAATCCCTATCACATTATGTAAACCTGTGGCCTCTTCTCCTACCAAAGCTTCTCTACAGCGCTGCTCTGTTTTTAAGAGCACTGTGAGAGTTGTGGACTGCCGCTCCGAAATATAGCATGCCAGGCATTCCATCTTTTTTATGCTGTGATTCAGCTAAATATTGTTATAAATGAGCCCTGAATCCTTCCCCGATGCACTGACAGGACAAGGAAAAACTGCAGGGCTCCCAGGTCTGTCTGTGTACGGGAGTGATGGATGTCTGTGGTGACCGGTCTGGACTTGTAGCTCTAGTAAATCAAAGTCTTAAACTTCCTCCCCTTTCCTCCTCCACCCTCCTGTGTGACTGGACGCGCCCAGGAGCAGCTGCTGCTTCCTCTGCCTGTCAGCACAACCCTTCATCACTCTCCTTCCAAGCCTTTGTTAGTCTGCGAGTGTGTGTGTGTGTGTGTGTGTGTGTGTGTGTGTGTGTTGTGGTTCACTCTGAGAGGCAGCAGAGGATCTCACCACAGTCATACACAGTCTTTTAGAAGCAAGTAAGCCAAGTATGCATGACATGAGTGGCATGAAAATAATCCCTCATGGTCTGTTCACAGAAAAACAATCCATCAAAAACCAGCGTAACGGCGGGAGATTACTGAGTCACAGACGCAATTCTGATTCAAAACACACCAACACCATGAAATCTTTGTTCTTTATGTCTTCTCAAAACCGTGTCCTCCATGTCAAAGCAGATTTAATCCTCAGTTTCACATCTTTACTACGGTATGCAGTAAAGGATATTTTATAGCCAGACAGTACAAAGCCCACACAAACTGCTTGAGGAACAAGAACATTCACAACGTGATTGATCCATGGTGATCAGAAGTTGATCTTTCGCACTTATCAAAAAGTTTGGAACCCGTCAGAATCATGCGTCACTACTTCTTATAGTTTCCATGCCTGTATAAAAGTCTTACATTTACGGCCCTGTTAAGGAAGGCAGTGAACACCCCCCCACCCCACCCCCACCTCAGTCCAGCCCACCCCCACCAGTCACATTCCAGGTCCTCGAAGGGAAAATGCAGAAGTCAGCAACTTGCTGACTGCGTGTCCCCATTTGCCTGGCATGTCACATATCAGACAATCCCTGGATTCAGCACAACTGAACCAGGAAACAATGGAGAACTTTCTATGGAAGCTGCAGCGCTCGGCATCCAAAGCCCTACAGACACAAGCCCCCCTTTTAAAACGAAGCAGCCATCTATTTGGCTTTATATCTCAGCGGCCCATGTTTTGATAGCAGCCATCTTTTTCCCTCCGTCTGTAAATAAGAGAGATCTATGACGGCCATTAGCTCGGCTGAAGTCTCATTAAGAAACGTATCAGTCAGCTGGTCTCGATGAGAAGCATGCCTGTTAATGAATCATTCTACTGTCGCCTCCAATAGACATTTTAGTGCCTCCTAATTACTGTGGCTTTGAGGTGCCCCAGTTAAAACTTGAGCAGTGTGCAAACTGTGTTTTCCAACACTACGGCTTCATTTTATTAAAAATAATCTGATAAAATCTGGTGCTAGACGACAATAATGACCACCTGCCAGTTGCTATAACAGCATGAAAGGGAGTGTATTTGAACACAGACACAAGAACACACACCCTCAACCCACAAGACATTAAATAAACCAACCATAGACTATTCACCATGTGCACTGTTATCAAGATAAATGCACGACTATACCATATTTCAACCATCTCGCCCATCTAGTGACATCTATCTTTTGTGGTTACTACTTCTGCTTTCTTATAAACAGCTGGTTTCTTATACAGTTGGTGATGTTGGACTAAAATCTAATTTAGTGTCCTACTCGAAGAAAACTGAACTGGATTTAAGTGACGGTGCTTTTTTAAAATGTTGAATTTACAACGTACGGATGAATAAGGAAACACCTACTTGTTGCAGTGATGTTTGAGGTGTTTCTTGTAGCCGTCGTCCTGAAGCATGTGCTCTGGGTTGTGTTTCCTCAGCCACTCAGCTTTGTGGATGTCAAAGGAGCTGGACTGGGTTTTCATCTTCTTACCCTTTCTGCCGCGAGGGACTGGAGCAGACAAACCTATCGGAACAAGAGGAGGTTGAGTCGTACAGGTACAGGTTATGAAATAGTTTCCCAAATCCCGCTCAGTTCAATATCTCCATGCGCCACTGTCTGCTGTGATAAGGCCAGCTAAATGTAGGTTAGAAGTCCTGAGACTCACCCAGGTGATTCTGCAGCTCCTTGGTGTGTCCGTCCTCAGTAGGGGCGATCAGGTCCCACATGAAGCTTTTGATTTTGTCATCTCCACGGTAATGGACCAGGCAGTAAGACAGCAGGGCCCTGCAAATGGACTCCACATCCCTCTCTGTCAGCTGCTTCTTGAAACGCCCATGATTGAGAATATCCTTCCAACGACCCCACCTGGAAGACAAGGGGCACAAGCAAAGAGGGTTCAGATTAAAATCACTTCACAAGCTATACTACTTTGAGGACACTTGATGTACTTGGTTTTGCCATGATAGTAATGTTGATTTCTTTATAACAGTCAGTTACGTACAGTGAGGGATATTGGGACAAAATCCAACAAATGAATGATACAGGACACAAAAATGTATCACACATTGTCAGAATTCTGTTTAAAAACACCAGTCGAGTCGTATCTATGAACAATATCAGCACAGTTGCTATAATGGCTTAAACTATTTCAAAAGTCTTACCCATAAACAAGCAGGTTCTTCTCTACTCTGAAGCACTCTGTGCGTCCATAGCTGTTGAGGCGGTCATGGTTTCGCCTGAGCTTGGGTTTGGTGTCGTCACTGTCGCTGTTGCCCTCTGAAAGCTCTGCCAACTCATCCTTGGTGGCACTGAACGGCCTGGTCTGCTTTCTGACACGAGGAGTGTCGATCACCAAGCTGTTCTGTAGCGAGGGAATGGAGGGCGGATAACATTTCAGCAAAGGGCTTTCAAGGTCTATAACGCAGCTAAAAGAAGGCTGCAGCCCCACTGGATGTCCAGCCATTATGTCTTTATTAGATGCAACACATCTTTGTGAGAAAGGTCCTAATTATCCTCTGTATAGTTTATTATTTGTGGTGAAGTACATACTCTGCCGTTTGCCATATCCATATCAATGTCAGCCTTTTGGGCCCATTTGTCCCAGAAGTTGGGGTCATCCAGAGAGATGTCTGTGCGGTTTCCGGACGCCACAAAACTGGCCTGAAAGCAGACATGAATAAGATATCAGAACATAATCATATTGACATTCCCTGTATGGTGTGTCAAAAGCTGCTCCTGGCCAAAAACCAACGACAACCAGTGACCTGTAAAATGTAGCCGTCCCTAATTCCATAGAGACTGGGTAAAAACATTTCAATTTACATCACTTAGTGTTAGAGCAGCCATATTATCCATTTCATTCACCTTGGCAAAAGTGGATCCTCGTCCCTCAGACTCGATGGTGATGGTCTTTGTCCTGCGCTGGAGGATCTGATCGATGTCCTCCTCACAGAACTTGGCCCCTTCATCCTCGTCATCCATGATGGCCCCGTATGCACCGCGTCGCAAAAGATCCTCAATCTCCTTCTTAGACAGCTGCTGCTGTTGCTGCGCTGCCTGAGAGGCACGGAGAAGGAGAGCAACATTTAGGGTCAGGAAACGATATACAGTAAATAGGTGCAAAATGAAACTGTAAGGAACATATTAAACGATACCTGCAAAACCTTTCAATTCTCAAAAAATTCTGTTAAATACACAACAAACATGATGGATTATTATAATTCTAATATCAGCAGCCCTGTATCTAACCCCTGCAGATTTTTACTAGGCAAATATGTTCAGTCAGACCAGATGTAGAAACCTGCTAATAGCTCAACCTCCTTTTCCTTCTGCTAATTCTCAGAGGACACCAACTGTAGCAAAACACCCACCTACACACTTCAAACACTGTTGACACACTCCCTCACAACGAGATTAGACTCTAATAGGATCGGCTACACTCACTACATTTCACCAATTTTTGAGAGTGAGCTCCAAGTTTTAGGGTTTGTGAACAGTTCTATTTTCTTTGCATCACTCAAGACTGATATCAGAAATGGTTGACTATGTTATTGTTGAGGAGACTATTGGAAGAAATATTTAGTCCTTTATTTCTATAACAGCACTCATTCTCACACGATGGTTAGAGGAAAGTCTCAGTTAGTGAGGATAAGAAACTTAAAGGATAACCCCCTCTACCCACTTCCAACTTTCACTTCAAAGTGTTTACGATTTTAAGAAGTTATTTAATATGACACTAAACTGAGTAGTAGGAGAATAAGCCGCAAAGAGTAAACAAATAATGAAGAAAAAGTGTAAACAAGCTCTATGATTAGAACAGTGCCACGCCAGGCTTTTGCCGTTTCCTGCTCGTTTTTGTGTTATGTGATGACGAGATAGTGAACGTCTAGCCAAGATCTTCTTGTGAAATTGATCGCTTTCATCACAAGCACTGTCTGACAACAAGAAAATTAACTGAACATAATTTACATTACTAAATGATTTAATTCCCCTTTTTGATTCCAGACCATTTGGACAATTCTCAAACTTACCCCTCCCCCGGCGCCTCCACCCAGGCTGTTATCTCGGCCACTCATGCTCTGCAGCACTGCTTTGTCCAGGCCCAGCTTGAGGCTGGCGCGATCGAACATTTCTCGCTCGTACGAGTTCCTGGTGATCAGACGGTACACCTTCACTGCCTTGTTCTGACCGATACGATGGCAGCGCGCCTGGGCCTGTGAAGAGCAGACAAGAAAACAAAACGTGTAAAATACACCGCACATACAAAAAGGAGATTTAGTGATGACATCTTTAGTTTGGCATTAATGTCATCTGATCCTAAATGATGGTAATTTTAATTATTATGTGAAATTAGCATGTGGTCTTTATTGGACATAGTGTCACTTGTTGTGGTGATGCGACTTGTTGGTAGTTCTTTACATGAACAGATGTCACACGAGAGATAACCATTAGAATGCCAAAATTGTCAAATGCCTGCACATTAATGGGACAAATCTACTACAGCACTACGTTGCACCTACTGCTCAGGTTGTGTCTTACCTGCAAGTCGTTCTGCGGGTTCCAGTCCGAGTCGAAGATGATGCAGGTGTCTGCTGCTGTGAGGTTGATTCCCAGGCCACCAGCTCTTGTGCACAGAAGGAAAACAAAGCGCTCCGAGTCGGGCTTACTGAAGCGGTCGATAGCTGCCTGCCGCAAGTTCCCACGAACACGTCCATCTATTCGTTCGTACAAGTACCTGCAACACAAAAAAAGCGAGCCATGATGTATGCATTGCAATAACTGATTGAATACATGGCTTGTTCTACATATCTTCACTGTGAACGTTTGCACATTCTGCACGAAACTGTACAGCTCTCTCAATCCAAAATAGTTATATTTACCCAAAACCTTACTTTCATTTTGCTTCCATTCTGCACCTGGAAACTGTATCCCAAATCAATAAATAAAACTATTTCTACAAGGAGTGGTTATGTGCTCTTTCATCCTTGTGTCCATTCTCATCCCCTCCCACAATCCGACCCCCAGGACAAACCACTTCCAGTCAGAAGAAACCTCACAGAACAGAAAACCTGCTCGTCTAAATATAGTGGCGCCCCGAGGGCTTCTATAACCTGCTGCTGAACCCTGTCTGAGGTCTGTACTGCGCAGCGCCTCACATGTTGACAATAGTTTAGGGTTTGCTCCAGCTGCTGGTGGTGGTGTGGGGGGGGGGAGAGAGAGAAAGAAACACGAGAGCAACAAAAGTATATACAGACACCCAAAAAAGTCAGGTATATGAAACATAAAAGCAATATTCAAATTCCTAGATGCCATTAAATTCAAACCCTTATGGCTAGTTGTTAACCTTTCCCCACGATAGTCCTGCTACGTTTTATCTGACCACTCACTCCATTTCAGCTTTCTATGGGACTTTTGGGCATTACCTGACACTGCTGACACAAAACCAAACACACACACACACACACACACACACACACACACACACACACACACACACACACACACACACAGGGAAGCAAAGGGAGAGCTCTATGATTCTCAAAGCAATGTTATACTTTGGCAGAGCCATGGTTGTGTTTAGAAGCTTTATGGCCATGACATCAGTCCAAATCATTGTCCAACATCTTCATCAGTTACTCCTGTTCTCAACAAGGGCTTACTTTTTCCCCCCCTTTTTCTTTCACTCTAATTATAGAGCTAACAAATCATACATTTTGCACAGAGAGAAATGGATGGGTAATTAGTGTTTGCATGTTGCATGTGGGTACACTACCTCTTGTCTAGTAGTGCATGTTATGATATGTTACAGCACATTTTGGCCCAAACAGGATAAATGGATGCAGAAATAGATGGATGGATGTGTTGTTTTGACTTAATTGATGTGATGAAACACCAGGCTCCATACTTCTAATCACTAATGCTTCTGCTGCCAACTACTCTCACTAACAAATGGCTATCATGTATTGCATGCTAGGACACACCACTACAGACATACTGACCCTAACCATTTGCAGCGATAGGAGTCAGATCATCCTTTACAACATGTGTAGCAGCTACCGAGTGATCCCAGTAAACTGTACCACGAATTAGCTTTTCTTTGAATCCCAACAGATCTAATAAAGCCAGATGATACGAGTGACTTTACATTTTTGAGCCGCAGCACCAAGTTAACAATTACAAGTTGTTTTCTTTCAAGGACAACAAATCCTTCATCATCTGTCACCATTACCTTCTCTGAATGAGGTAGTCTTCCAAGATGTCAAGGCAGCGCACCATCTGGGAGAAGATGAGCACCCTGTGCCCTCCGGCCTTCATCTTGGGCAGCAGTTTGTCAATAAGGACCAGCTTCCCGGCAGACTGCACCATAGCTCGCAGGTGAAAGTCCATTGCAGTGGGGCTATACACCTCCCTGAAGTCCTCTAGGATCTTCTCCTCTGCTCCTTTGATGAGGTAGGGGTGATTGCAGCACTTTCTCAGCTCCATCATGGTATTGACCAGGTTGGGCATATTTGCTTGGCCAGCTCCTTTAGCCAGGAAAGAGAAGTTCCTCTCTATGATGGCGCGGTAGTATTTCTTCTGAATGTTGGTCAGCTCAACCTCGATGATGGTTTCCTCTTTAGGAGCCAACTTCTTCTCCACGTCCTCCTTCAGCCGACGCAGCATCATGGGCTTCAGGATACCCTGAAGCTTCTGTACCTGTGGGCCCAAAGATGAGAAGAGAGTTATCGTATCGCATTCAGTAACTGTGGGATGTTCTACGCTACACAGGCATGGGGTTACACGTGCTGCGTTTGTGCTGGTCCTGATTAAAACCGGAACAGCAGTGCCATACACATCATTACGGAAATGTTTGCATGCTCCAGTGACTTTTCCATTACCAAATTGAGAATCATTTATTGTATTCAATAATATGTATTTGACTGCAATGCAACATCAGACGAAGCATTTACGCTTCCTTTCGAATTTCCACTTCATGTGTGTTTCATGACTGTAGTGGACGCAGATGCAATCTGCGATTGATAATGACTGCACTAACGTTAGCCAGCACCAAGTTTAACTCAACAGTAGTTGCCTGGTTATATTTCCACACACGCAACACATTATCTACTTGTACATAAAACCTGACTGGCCATCAAAGTAGGAGTCACCACCCATCAAACTAAACCCATCAATACTATTCTATATAAAAATTTAATGATGTCATACTGATTTTTTTATATATGGCAGTAGGGTTATGTAATGTAGAATGTCTTAACTTTATATGAATATATTAAGTTTTAAAACCAGTGTTCAGATTTCGTCTTTTTCAATTGATGAAGAAACAGTTTCCCAAATCATGAGTTTGTGTCAACAGTAACGTGTCGCAGCTTTTACAGCTACCAGCGTTCATTTTTTTATTCCACATACAGGCCCTCAACATCAGTTATGACATTTGTTGAAAATGCACTCTCACCAACTTTTACTGTGAAAAGGATATAATATCCCCACTGGTACAAAGAGCTTCTAGATTTAGTACCGTGTGTCGAGTACTAGCTGTTCCCAATATTTTAACTTTCAGCATGAGTACTACTCTTCAAAACATGTTTTAATGGTCCTTTCTCGAGCATCTCTTTAGTGCTTCTGCCTAAAAATGAAACACCAAACAGCGATAAGAAGAAGGAAAGGTAAAACACCCTTTTCCTGTGAGCAACTGTGTTGATACATAGTGTAACAATGAGAAGCATAATACCCCATTATCTGTTATTGTTAGCCACCATATGTTGTGTGTGTATGAGTGTGTGTGTTGTGTACAAAATGGCGCTGTGGCCTAGTTAAAAAAAAGCCCCAATTCAAGTGTTCCATCTGTACCAATAGGATCGTCATACTGTATCTGAGCAACAATGTGTATTGTAGAGCGCTAAAAAAAAAAAAAAGAACTGTAGTTTTTACACCAAAAATGATGTTTTCTTAATTTTTTACATTTATTAACCAGAAGCTCAGACAGCATTGTCTGACCGGATTGTGCGACTTGTGGATTTCTGACTTCTATTATCAATACTGAATATTCACAAAACCTAGAAATGTCAGGACATCTTTATGTATACACCGGCTCACCTGCTCCTCAGTCTTGAGGTCTCCAAATTCCTGCATGAAGGTGCTTTCTGAGGGGAAACGTGCTGGCTCCAGGAAGTGGAGCAGGCTGAAGAGCTCCTCCACTGTGTTCTGGAGAGGAGTACCCGTCAGCAGGGCCTTGTGCTCCTGAAAGAGAACACGCACAACAAGAGAACGTTTCAGTCTCATTTGATCATTAGACAACACACTGTAGAGACCGACAGGAGCTGGACACAAAGTTTTGAGACATCAAAATAGGTGGAATTAGTTTTAAAACTAGAAAGTGCAGGTTTAATAATGCACACATTAAAAATGAGTTTCTTTTAGATTTTTATGTCTGGAAGTTGATGGATTTTGTACCAGGTTCATGAGCTTGAAGCCCTCTAGCAGCTTGCAGTTCTTGTTCTTGAGGCGGTGGGCCTCATCGATGATAACGCAGCGCCACTCGATGGCGTTGAGTTCAGGACAGCCTCCCAGGATCATCTCAAACGTGGTGATGACGGCGTGGAACTTGTAGCAACCTCGCATCACACGGCCCTGAAGACAAAGAAGGTGAGGAGATGTTAGACAAACTGTCATACTGGCTTATGAAGCGTCTATAAAACAAATATTGATGACAGTCCTGTTTCTATGCACAGGAAATTGTGTCTGTGGCGGTGTGTAAAAACACATTTCATTTGCATTGTGCTATGAATTTCAATGATGCAGAATGTGCCGTCATTAAAAAAAAAAGCTGTTTTCTGAGAGAATGTAATGAGTATGTAACTGTTAGCATTAGAAAACTACTAATTTGCAGCCTTATGCTGTTGACAGCAAACACATGGCAGCTTACTGTATCTTAAGATTTTGCAGACAATCTAAAAAAGACCCCTCTTGGTTGTGAAGCCATCTACAATATAACCAGGACGCCAGTGCTAGTGCTGACCGACAAATTGCATTTCCATCATCATCGCGACACGAACATAAACACATCGCAAAAGACTGTCTGAAACGTGATGAACACTGAAGCCTCTCTCCTGCTCTGTGTCGGGGCCGTGTCAAGATTTTATTACCTTCATAAATTAAACATAACACTCGGCTACACAAACCAAAACATAAGCTGTCTGCATGTATTCTAACTGTTTAGCTTAGTTTGCCATGCATCTTAAAATCACACATCAGCAGGACAGAGGACAGGAGGAACTGCTGATAGTGACTGATGTCCGTGTCCTTCACTCAGTATTTTGATGTCAGGAATATTATTTATTCTATTGACATTTCAGATGCATTTCCAGTGAGACATTTTATATCATTACTTTGCTGTAAACATTACTGTTGCTGCTCTAGAAACATTAGATATATTTAAAACTTTAAATTCTCATCCAGTTCTGTATTCAAGGACAACCAGGCTGTCAAAGGATAGACGTAGCTAATATGCAGTTTATTCATCGCAGATTTTCCTCATGTGTCTGTCTGTCTTTCGAGGCTTTTCTTCACTCCACCTCTCCATTTGTATCTATTGCCTTGACAACAGTCCTCGAGGGATACTCAGTTATCCGATAACCCCCCTCCCACAGCCAGGCAGCCAACAGACTGCTGTAGAGGAGCCTCTCTCTCTGATATGCCTGAGCAGCGCTGACAGAGAGCTCCCCTTGGGGGCTGCTATGACATCACAGGCTGCCTGAGAGACAGCCTGGTGGCGGCTTCGCTTGTTCTGCTCTCGTTCGCTTTAATTCCTCCTACGGTTCGTCTGAATACTAAGAGCTTCCAACTGCCTGTTGTGACACATCACATGGCCTGCCAACCACAGAAAGCCTCTTCCCAAGGCTCACTAACTACCCAGCAGCCTACTTACTGTTGGGCACGTGCCCTCCTTTGAATCCTGTTATGTGCCACGTTAGCACTATGAACCACTTGTTCGTAAAAATGTTCTCTCAACCAACCCAGTGAGAAACTACAGGCTTCATAAAATGATGTCAAATCTGTAGCGCTATTTAAGTGTACAGATTTCAAAAGATACATTTTTAGCCATTTTTTCGACACAGACCTTTTCCCTTACAGAAACATTTTCCTGAGATATTCACTATCGTTCCTTGCTGCCTGCTTTCCACTTTTCTTTCCTCTTTCCGGCGTATGAAGCCTGTGTGTTAAACATGGCAATGACGTTCTGCCTGGCTTTTTAATAAACAACTCCTATCTTTGTATACAGGGCAGGCTTCCTGTTTTCGAACATATTATTAGATTACTCTCAGGACTTCGTGTTGCTGACACAGTGCTGCTGTTCTCTAAAAAGCAGTCCTGTGATTATTTGAATCAAAGTAAATCACTGCTTTCCAGTCTGATGGTAAGCACAGCGATGTTGCTTTCTGCTCATCTGTTTTTAAAAACGGGACCATTAGGTATGTCAGGATGAACTAAAAGGCCTCTCAATCCTCACAACTCCAATTCTGTTCGGTATGCGAGGCAAGGTATCTGTGACTGATTCTTGCTCTGCTCCTCATGGCTTCTCTCAGGCCAAAACAATTACTGTGGTGACAAAACACACAGACAACATGACGGACAGCATTGTTCTCTCTTAAAACAGCAATAGTTGCACAAAACTAAAATGTATATAATGTGTAGAAGTCTGCATCCAACAAGAAATGTATAATGCATTTTAAGAAGTGCCTTCTCTATGGTCTACTAGCAGGGCCTACTTGAAATTGATATAATGAGATAGATAGATAGATAGTATATGTGCTGCACTACAGCTGTGTAATAGGTCCTGTGCTAATTTTGTTGTGGGCCCACAATGTATATATTTATGCCACCAATATATTTGAATTGATCTTTTTCTAACTTGTATTTATACTTACGCAATACAAGCATTACCACCCCAATCATAAACGTGTACTGTAAAAATAAAAGGCAACCCCATCTCTTTCTATTTACCTGTGCATCCCTGAAATACATCTCATATTGTTGGAGCATCTGCCTGCTGACCATGCTTCCATGGTAGACGATGACATTGAGATTGGTCCAAGTATGGAACTCGCGCTCCCAGTTGGCAATAGTGGAGAGCGGAGCAATGATGAGGAATGGCCCTTTAATGCCCACACGAAGGATCTCCTCTAGGAATGTGATGGACTGGATGGTCTTTCCGAGGCCCATCTCGTCTGCCAGGATGCAGTTCCGTCTGACAGGTGGAAATAAGAGTTAGAAGAGGAAGAAGTGGGGACACAATCGGTGACACCTGTGTGAAAACTATATCATATCCCTGGTGTGTACTCCATACATAATGTGTAGGGACGTGGATTTTTTAAGTCGGACTATGTTGCTGAATGAGATGTTATTTTTCCACAGCGTGTATTCAGCGGGATCATTTCTGGTGCTTGTAACCATTGTACTGTTTCAAAGTAAACAAAAGAAATGTGTAGTGGGATAAAAAATAAATAAAAATTGGGTGGCGAAGATAAAGAAAAACAAGGAAAATGCAAAAATCCCATACTAAAAGAATAAACAGCAAACAAGGGAGGAGAAAACAACATCATCAGCAGTAATAACAGCCCCGAAGAGATGAGACACAACATAATGGCAATTGCAACTGCCTCTGCTGCGTGGTGTACTCCAGCAAACCATTTATTCAGCTGTCCAGTGGGTGGGGGTATTATGTCTTGATGCTAATTGCAACGTGCAGATATTCCCACTGGCCTCTTGAGCAGCTCTCTTCTCTTGATGAATCTCTCTGCGTAGGCATACACAAACTCCTGCATGCTCACACAGAAAGCCGTTTCCCTGGGTTAATGCAAGCCGACTCGCACTTCATATTCCAGATGTAATGTGCAGCACCTCTTTTGTGATTGTGGGCGAATAAAAGCAATTGTTGTTGCAGCAATGTGCACTTTGACAGGAAATCTGACTCTCCTTGCAGGCCCAACCAAATAATGTGAATACAGCCAAATCACAGCATGGTCCACACAACAGGAAAAATGATTTATCATTCATTATCCACAGTCCCAAAGCACCCAGAGGATTCCTCTTGAAATACACAATACCTATGTGAAAACCTCAGAATCAATAAATATACTGTAGTTTTTAATATCGGCATAGGATTACTGACAGTTTACAAACAAAAAAAGAGTTGCCATTTTGCTTGAGGTGTGAGGTATATCCTAAATCTACCATTTGTCTTTCCATTTGAAAAGGGTGCGGAAGTTGTGTTTAGAGATGCAAATGGACGGGAAAATTTCCAAGTCAAGTTAAGCTCGGGACTTTTTGCACAATTTCAATATGAGGGACTAGATGTAATGGTACGTTTTGGTTAAAAAAAAACTCCATTCTACTGAATCGTAACCATGCATTATGTTCAGCAGTGCACCCTTCCATCAGATCATTTGCCAGAATTCCATAAAATAGCAATTCAGTAATATTACAACCCTCTGCATGCACAATGTATTCTCCCACACTGAGCCAGAGCGTTACATCTTTTCAGAGACATTTTGATAATATTACTGGAGTGAATATATTTCATATATTGTTTTATGATATTTCAGTAAAGCAGCAGATAGTAAAGCAAAGTTCGCCGTTTTATAACTTGTTAACATCTTCTGCTAGTTTTTGCTAGCTAGCATGAGGGATGTAGCATGATTTAGCACTAATTGAGGAGTTGTATTTAGTCTTCTTCCATTCATTCTTTCCTGTAAAAAATATAATTATAAATTAGTTCACTTTAATTTCTAAGTTTGCCGGGTTGAATTTCAAAGTACCTTTCCCTGTTAGCGATAGCTAAACAACTCAACAAATGGCAGTTTACGATATGGCAAAAGATTTGCTTCTATCTGCAGCCTGAACAGATAACCCTTACATTTCTGTTATTCCTGTTGATTCTCATAAATTCCGTGCAGTGCTACCAGTTGTAGGTGTGTGCATTTATGCATATACAAGAAACTGACCTGTTGTACCAGTTGAAAAGGAGCCAGTTGACCCCTTCTAGCTGGTAGTCCCTGAGGCTGTTGCCATTGATGTATTCCCTCGAATGTTCCCTCTTCTTCCACAGATTGGCTGGGGGCCGATCCTAAGTGACATATTGTAAATGGAGAGTTAAAATGAGCGTTTTGAAATCGATTCCACATTTACATTTTAGATGTCGAATGAACGCAATGACAGACAAGGGGCAATCTTAGGAGAAGTGACAGCACTCAATGATGTTTTTTAAAAGTAAGGCAAAGAGGGAAACATATCAAACGGTGGTGTGGTAGTGACTCCGGTTATATTGTATATGCATGGCCGCAGGCATTTATGCATTTGTTTCAATACTGGGAAACAGTGCGACTCTTTCTAGTGGACAAGGAGGTGACTATGACAAGAGTAAATATAACCTGAAAAACAATCCTGAAGGGTCTGTTGAATTAGAGCTTATCCAAGACAGTACAAATCACATGACAAATCTGTGTGAAGTCTGGTTACAATACTATACTATAAATACAACCATGTGTTTTGCTTCATGGGGCACAGTCTGATTTGCAGTTAAAAACATGGTCCTTTTATTACCATACCCTTCAAGTTTTAGCTTTAATCTTAACTAGTGAATATCTTATTTTTTACAGCACAAACATCATTCACTGCTCTTGAAGTGACTGGCAGCAGGTGTTTCTGAGTCTCCTCAGTTTGTTCACTTCTCTGTGTGAGTGTGGCCTTTTGGCTTATGATGCACATTAATCTCACAATACATATGTTTGGATGGTGCAGTGAAAATACATTCTCAAAGATTCCACTGCACCAAATCTGCATAATCAATTGGATTAGATTTTAAATTATTATCTTATTAGCACTTCAAAATACCAGCAACAAAAGAAAAAGAAAAAATATACGTATATACATGTATTCAGTTTGAGAGCGACAGAGTAAGGAATGCCGGAGGGCATAGCTTACCACCCTACGCGAGTCTGGCTTGACTGCCTGCAGCTGCTCAAACTCTTCAATCTTGCTCTGATCGACGTCATCCTTTAGCTCCCAGGTGCTGTCCTCATAAGGCAGCGAGCACCACTTCACCAGGTAGTACACCACCTCCTGCAGCAGCCGGAGGAGAATTAGCGCTGCAAAAGACTACAGCGAGGCCAAGCTCTGCTTTTATAATATTAACAAAGGCTGCGAGGAAGCCCGTTAGGATGGCCTTGGGCCCTTCTGAGATACAAAGACATCACTAGAGTGGAGAATATAGTGGAAGAAAAAAAACCCACAAAAAACTTAAAAAGAGTAAAGCATGTTCAGCCACGTAGACACACACACACACACACACAAACAAACACACCCACACACACACAATTAATAAACGGAAGAGGATTCACTTTACCTCTCCCGTGTCTTTGTCCTCACAATACGACACCTCCAGCACTCTGTCTACCTCTACATAGTCCGGGTTAAAGGGGTCCTCTTCCATCTGAGAGAGACACAAAGAAAGACAAGAGGGAAGGAAAGAGGGAGAATAAACCTAAATGCCCACTCACCATCTGGAATCAGAGACAAGTATCACTACTGCATCGAGTGAGCGAGTTAAGAGATTCAAATATGCACACAGATGTGTCTGCCCACACAGACAAAACACAAAAAGTAAATAAAAACATCCACACACACACACACACATTCATATCCATGTACACTAAACACGCGCCTGCTCATAACAAATGCCAAAATATGATTGTTCACGTAATAGACAGTACACGCTACACAGAATGTCCACAGACAAAAACACAGCCGCACAGCCTTACATCTGCAAAGAAGAGCGCCCTCTGTGCTTGTTTCATCTTGAAACGTTTGATCTTCTGCTGAATCCTCTTGTCCTTCACCAGCTGCTGCTCCGTGGCCCACTCACAGTGTAGGTAGGAGCTGACACACACACACACACACACACACACACACACTCTAAGGTGAGAAACCCTGAAAAACACCCTCTAAACAGCATCTGGGGCAACCGCTGAGGCCAGCAGGTGTGAACACAGACTGCAGATGTGGTCACAGGGTTTTTTTTTTTTTTTTTTACTGAAATGCCGTTTAGAAAGTCGCTGACCTCCATTATGTTTGGTATATCAAATTTCTTGTGTGACATTCATTTTTCAATCCTTTTCATCATTTGGATGAAAACTTAATGAATGCAATCTGGCTGATGACAGATTATCCGTCAGGTGAAAAGAAATGATTTCTCTGGGAGGCCGTGGTGGTAAACCTAATGTTCGATAGACTTTTTGATAATGCTCCCGAGTTCACAGAAGAGAAATGTAATCACCGTTGCAGCATTTACAGGGCAATACTGAAAACTGACCCAGGACGCCTGAGACGCTTGTGTACTCATGTAAGCACATAGTTCGTATTCAGCATCTTTTCACAATGCCTTCAGTTTAGTTTAGTTTTTAAAAATGTGTGTTAGAATTTAGGAAGTGCAACAGTATTATCTGCAATGGTATAATACACACAATGGTATAAGTATAATACACACAATAATCACACAATATTATTTTTGAATATTTCTGTTATGGTTGATAGTGTTATTCATTCAACAGTTGCTAATTCAAACAAACTGCAAGTGAACTTACTAGTTTTTGTATTTTACAAAATACTCCTCTCCTTCGACCACCACTCCTGGAGAGACCTGTAGAGAGGTTTAAAATAAGAGAACAATATACAATTACAGACTAACTTCCATCTCTTCTTTCACTTGGCTAATGGCTGTATTATGCCATATCATAAAGTCAATTTAGATTGATAAAATATACAAATAATCACAAAACTCATTAAAAAGCAGGGAAAGAAAGGGCAGAACATCCCTACCTCATTCTTGACGATACGAGAAGACATGATTTTGTCAACAACCGCAGCATCCTCTTCACTGGGATTCTCCTACAAATGCAGCGGACATGAAGGATTTAATGTCAAGTGTTACTTCATAGTTCCCCTGAGCAGGAATGATTTGCGTAAGCCTCAGGACACTTCAGAATACAAAAACCACACACACACCACAGTATGCAATAATAACAATGCAAATAAAAACTGCACAGTCTGCACACAGTTGTGCTCTTCCTGAGCACAACACAGTTATTTTTGTTCCTTATCTGAATAGAAGACCTATGGTTAGAGGCTGTCATAACTCAAATGGATTGTGAACCCCTTTGGCATATTTGTTGCATATAAATAAAACTGACTTGAGGGGCTAGAGTTTGCTACTCCGGCAGAGCAACTCAAAAAGTATCACTGATTTAGACGAGGAAAAGCAGGGTGGAATTTTTCGACGATATATTTGTAGAAAAGTGTTTTTCAGCAGAGCCATCGTCACATTAATCCCATCCGGATTTCCCTGCCGTTCTGTACATTTTGAAATGGGCACTGAATCTGCATCGTCGTCCTCCTGTTTGTACAGGCCTACTGCAGGGGTCCTGGTTTGTACGTCACAATGCGTTACTGAAGAGAACAAGCTGTGCTGCGCTGCACTTCACTGAGCACGTTGTGCTGTTGCTCTTCCACCAAGTTTGTGCTTGTTTTTCCGGTAGACAAGTAAGTTATTTTCAACAATATTTAGTGCATCGTTGCCAGAAACACATTCTTTGCATGGATTGTTTGTTAGCCAACAAATACTTTAAATACAATTAATAATTCATCAGCAATGGAAGTAACGCGTCTCTCTCCGCACTCTCTTTTTCACGTTTTCTCAAACATGAATACATTTAAACTGTACTTCTAAGCAACTGGGAGGTTGTAGGCAGAACTACTTACGACAAAGAGTTGAACAGCAGGCTGTTTGGATGCTGCAGTGTTGGCTTTCTTGGCCTTGACAATAACCTTAACCTCGTCATCCGACAACCTGGCCTCCAGCTCTTCAGCGTATTTCTTTCTCTTCACCTGCCGATTGGATCGCCTCTTCTAGGAACGCCAAGGAGGAAAAAAACACATTTACAATATATTCAACTGATCTTGATCAGCTACTTCATACATCAATATCACCACTGAAAAATAAAATTAAAACTTGATCTTTTATCAGTAATCTGACATGTGAAGGTGGGGCAGGTTTGAGCAGATGTTCACACCGCTAGAACAAATGATTATCTTGCACATGTACAGTACACTCATGCTTACTGGCCATTTACGCGACGATATTCTCCGTATGTGCTTGTTAACTAGTATGGTCTCACCGTATATCATAAAAAGCATCAATATCACTATTATACACATGTATATCAATGAACAGAGATGCTCCGCGGTAAACCACACTGAAAAACCACACAGTTCCACACTGTTCCCTCAATCATGAGTCATGACTTATTTATTATCAAGCCTCTGAGTTTGCAACAATGGCCAGACATCGTGGTTACTCCGGATCCAACATTTACTCACGCAGGTTTTTAGATCTCAGACTGTCCCTGTGACATTGTTGATGCAATCTATAATTTTGATTCAACAGAGAACTCTAGCTATTCATATTCAATTTAAATTAAACAAGGAAGAAATTCTGATAAAACATTATGCACTGAAAAACCCCACACACAAAACTAGAGTGCTTTAAAATCCAGCTTCTTTCTAATTCTTCCCGTCACGCCTTTATAATGATCATATGCGTGGGCTGCTGTATCCTGCATCAATACATGAGCCCCTCCTGATGGTAATATGTAGTTAATTAGGAATGAATGCCACTGAGCCAAAGCTAATTAAGTGTGGAGTATAACATCCCTGTGGAGATATACCCTCACATCCCCAAACCCAAGCTGACCAGAAGCTGCAGAGTCAAACCTGCCACGACTAGAGTACTGAACCCCTGAGGTGGCCATGCTTTTTCTTTCCTAGCCGTCAGCCACGGTACTTTGACTTCTTCCACAGGATCATCCTAAATGAGTCATCATCAGACTGTATTCATCGAGGCCATGGGCGGCGTTTAATGAGAGTAATTACATTATAGGCAATAGTCCGGATAGGAGGCAAAAAGGAAAGACGGAGGAGGTGGTGGGGCGGAGGAGGATACAAAGTCACGTGTTGTCATCCCCACTCATTCAGACATGTCTCTCTTAACATGGCAGATATCTATAAAGGTTAAAAAAGAAGAAGAAAAACTTGGTGCTGCACGATAGCTAGCACTGTCGCCTCACAGCAAGAGAGGCCCGGGTTCGATCCTTCTGTGTGGGGTTTGCATGTTATCACCATCACAGCGCGGGTTCTCCACCGTAGGTTACATGATGACTCTAAATTGCCCGTAGGTGTGAGGGTGAATGGTTGTCTGTCTCTGTATGTCAGCCCTGCGTTAATGGATGGATGGAAAAGATACCTACCTGAACCGTTATATTGATCAGATCACATAGCCAGCGTACATTTCAGAGCCCCCCTCTCCCTTTGTTTGTACCTTGAAAAATCTCAACCTCAGGTGAGCAACCACTCATTTTCCACAGCAGTACTTTGTGTTTAGTGGAAAATAGAATCTGGATTTTAAATAAAAAACTATGTGATCCCTTAATTTAGCTAAGTGTTATGTTATCAAACAAACATGACATCCCTGGAGGATTTTAATTTCACTGGTGGCTGTGGCAACTGCGTTTCCTTTTAAATGAAAATTTTAGTTAAATTTAGGTGTGTGCACGTCAGGGTGCTGTTGTTGACCTAGATAATGCCGAGATGATGATGTCTCCATCATATCTCCGTCATCAGCACAGATAAGCGAGTGTACTTGAGATAGCCACCCACTGCATGACCCCCACGTGAACCACAGAGTCAATCCACCAAGGCTCAAGCCCAGTCTGTGAAGCCTTCCTCTGGGCTCGGCAGCCGTGTCAACAGCCAGACCGAGGACACCGCTTCACTCAATGCCTTGTACCGGAATGGAAAAAGATCAGGAATTTCCATACGTTTTCTTTTAGCAGAGGTGTGACAACACATGTATTACTGTCACAACGTCATCTGAATAAGGCGGGGAAGTAAAGCAGTCAAATGAAGGCAATTCACTGAAGAGAGTTGTCTCACAGTTTAGGATTGATATTGTAATATGATTAAGTGGGATGAAATGCACTCGAAGTGTTCCCAAGCATTACAGCCCCGGTTACTATTGTAGCTATATATACATATGTCAGTTTGTGAGTGTGTGTAAATGCTGGATCGTACAGAGTCATCTTTAGCAGCGTGTCGAGGAGGGGGGTCATCATCTGACTCCTCTGAAGACTCCGGCTTTCGCTTCTTCTTCTTCCCAATCTTGATCACAATTTTCCTGTGGGGAGGAAAAGCACACCATGAATACGACTGATGAGATGATAGCTGAAGTAATGAAACCACGTTCATACAGTAACGTTAAGGTTGTTAATGGGAGTCATGACAATGCCCAGAGGTGACTCGAGATCATCGGCACAGGCGGTCTTTAGATGTTTGATCTGTGTAATGAAACCAATTCCATGTATAATTAAAATCTAGCAACATTTAACACGCGTTTAAGAATCTCACAAATGGTGGCAGTGTTCGTATCAACATTTCTAAAATTAATCCGACAATGATAAAAATATCTTCAACTGCTTTGGGGAAGGACCGTCTTTAATGGATTATAAGTGTCGTCATACAGACGTTAAAAAGAGAACATGGCAGACGAACCAATAAGCAGCACGTTGAAGATTGAAAAACATTTTTCATTTCATTGCAGGCTGCACACGCATAGCCCCCTGCAGGTTTGCACCAGTATGCAAGATGGAGTGAAAGAAAATAATTCATAGATTTGCATCTGCAGCACTGCGGTCCATAAACAATACATGCAGCAGTAGCCTATATTCTTTAAGAATCTCTCACTGCATGGCTGTCAGCATGCAATTTTAGACCCTGACATACATACACTAACGGCTAAGGGAAAAGCGCACACATTTGCCTTGAGGGCTTTCTGCCAGAAAGTAGGTTTGTTGTATTAACCCAAGATTATTTCTGGCAGAAAGGAAAACTTCACCCATGTGCGGGACCAGCTGAAGTATGGTTGGAAACGCTTACATGTATTAACATCCTCACAATGGCAGCTGCTGCCCGAGTTTATGGAGAGAGGAATTGCTCCCACCTAGTCCACTGATTCAATATCATTTGATCATAATTAGGCAAATATGTTCCCCTTTAAGCTAAAATTGCTAAGTTTGTGAGTGTTGCAATTCTCAGCATGGCCTAATGTACAATTGTAGTACCGAGACAGACTGCTGGGATGTGATAATATCAGGAGCCCAGATAGCAGCAGATTGCACAATGAATAGAGAAAGCTTGTACTTTTTGCCAGAGCTTCATGATCAACGCTCTCTTCCACACACAGTTGCATATTATTTCTGTGACCTTTCCCCATACATTCTCTCACTACATATGCACACGCTTCCTATCTTGCACCTCTCCACATGTATTATCTCTTGGAAGCCACAGGCGCCAAAACTCGGGCTTGGTGTGATGGGGGGTGCTATCACACCGACACGCAACGGCATCTTCACTCTCTCACTCTCGTTTTCATAAACATTAGAAAACCTCACTTCGAAGGCTCTGTGCTCCACACACTCTAGATCTGTTGCATGAGCAGGTATGTCTCTCGTGAGAAGGACGTCCCAGTAGGGCTCGTTCATACGAGATTACATCAGGGACTCGTATCGAGTGTGAACAAAAGATTCCCACGCTTGCCAATATCTTCAATTGTTAGCAAACATTCATTCAGTTGGACAGCAAGTGGCCCCACTAGACAGGAGGACGTCCTGTAAGGAACAGGAAGCCAACCTGATAAGACAGCATATCAGATTGTTCAACAAGTCAACCATTTAAAAGAGACACTTCCTTTTTCTTTTTTTTTTATTGATTACATGTATTTAGATGCAGCGGCAGCATGTCGACAGACTTCCTATTTCTGTCTGATAGGGCTGCTTGCATCATGGTTTACCCTCCATCATAGACCGTCACCATCTGCACATGTCAAAGAAAGTGTGTGAAGATACAACAAGTAATCACCACAATACCAGACATCCACTAAACTGCATTTTCAGTAATACAGAACAGTGAGCTGTAAACAAAACAAATAGAAAACCTTTGTCCAACTTTAACATCGCTTGTCAACTCAGCTGACTGTGGTGTCAGTTGGCAAGAGATGGAGACTTTAAGGCAGTTTAAGTTTGCAGTACCTAACCCTGAACTATGTACTTAATGACAGAAGTAATCTGTGAGTAGAACAGAGACAAACGCTCACACACACACACACACACACACACACGTGAAACAGCAGATTCTTCCAGCCGTCCCTGCCTCCTCAAGATGATATTACATTTCACAAATCCTCTCGACAATGACACTTTATGGTTGCCATGCAACATGCCCTTGGGAGTGCATTTGGCAATGTGGGCGGCAATGTTCATGGTGATGTCACTTCCTGTGAAAAACACCACCAGCACATGTCTACCGACACTATGAATGGTTATGAAATGTGGCAAGTCAGAGTGGCACGATGAAAAATAAATAACCAGCTGTGCCACCTGGAAGCGTTGTTCTTCGTCCACCCCTTCAAAGCTGACTGAGATAAGGGCCGAGCAGAATACCAGCGTCGCATCACCTCAGCAGCTAAAAGCATCTCTCTGATCCTCATATGGAAAACCTCAACTGTGAAACGCGATACTGGAGGGCTGTGAAGTCATCGATTGAGCCCGAACAGACACAACGTGGATGGCGAGGTGGCTCCTGGGTACTGCCACGTACTGTACAGTACAGTACATGTGAGCCAGGGCTGCAATTAACGCTTATATCCATTTTCAGATTAATCTGTCGATGATTTTCTCGATTACTCAATTATGCGTTTGGTCCATAAAATGTGAGAAAATGGTGAAAAGTTTCCCAAAGCCCAAGATGACATCCTCAAAAGTCTTGTTTTGTCCACAATTAAACATGACTCAGATTACAGACTATCCAATTACTTTCAATCAATTAATGGTTGCAGCTCTTCTGTAAGCATGGCAGAGCTTAATATGATGAAAAGCACACACACACACACACACACACACACACACACACACACACACACAC